GCAAAAAGGGCTGGAGTGCAGGTCAAGTGGTAGAGCAATTGCCTAGCAAGGGTATGGCCGTGAGTTCAAACCCAGTACTGAAAAAAGAAGAAAAAGTGTGGGCTCAATGGGCAGTCTCCCTTCATAAAGGCCCTGAGATAGGCAACGCCTGAACATATTGCATCAGTCATCTGCTGAAACCCTGCACTTAGCACACTCTCTCTCATCTCCCTTCCTTGGTCAGCAAAATTTTCCCAGAATTAATCTCATTCATTTCCATACCGAGTTGAAGGTTTTTCTGAAACACGGGTGCTGCTGCATTAGCAGGGACACCAGAGAGGAAAGCAAGCACACACAGGATATTAACTCGGTGTGCAGGACGTGCAGTTTTGTATTTTTATATCAGCTCCAAGAAGGGGAAATTTTCATTTCAATCAGCCCACTCAACTGGGGACCCCTCAGCCCGGGATCTGAGGGCTGGCATGGGGGATGGGAAACCCCAGCCTTGGTATCTCTCCCCTTGGCTCCTCGCTGAATCAGTGGCTGCCCAAGCCTCCCTGGGGATGGAAGTCCTTGAGAACCTGCCTAAGCCCAGACCCTCCTAGAAGCCACTTCCGCCCCAGGGTTCTGCTACTAGCTCAGGCTGTTCCCAGTGAGTGGAGGTAAGTCTTGGCATCTCTGAGACTCACAGGCCAGGCTGCCTCCTAGGGAAGCAGGTTCCAGGCTCATCGCTGCCAGACCAGTGACATCTCTCCTCTCTCCACACCCACTGTGTCATCTTCTCATCACAGAACCTTGCTCTTCAGCCCCTCTCTCCTGCTGTGACACCTACATATTGTACATGTCTCCCGCCCTTCCTCAGAGGCTGAATTTTTCCAGTGCTCCTGTGGCTTCTCCAGGGAGGATGGAAAGTAAGCTATCAGGAGACAATGAAATCTCTGCTTAATGCTTCTGAACGTAACCCACACAAAGTGCACATCTTAATAACGCTTTTAGCATTGCCTAGTACTTTGCCACTCATAGGTTCTTTGTTTTTTTTTTTTTTTGGCAGTACTGGGATTTGAATTCAGAACCTTGCACAAGCACTCTCCCACTTCAGCCTTTTTTTTTTTGCTTCAGTTTATTTTTCAGATAAAGTCTTGCACTGTTTTCCATGATCTTCCTACCTCTGCCTCCATATGCCATCACACGTAGCCCACCACTCAGCTTTTCTGAGCTAAGCTCTGTGGAACAAGGTCATCCTTAATTTGCAGAATCTGAAGTCAAGGCCCTGATTCTCCAACGTCGGCATATTCCACGACACACATAGTAAGGCAGTCCGTGATTTGAGGGACAGGAAGCAGATGGATTGTAAACCTTTCCAGCTTTTCAAGAATGAACTTCCATGGGACCACACCTAAGAAGCCAAACTACTATACTAATGAATGAATCCACACGACAGGAAGTGAAAGCACCAGGAGCATCCTCTCGCTCCAAGGTAAGCCAAATACACTCCAGTAACAACGAACAGTCACGGTCACAGCCACAGCCAATTACAGAAGTGACAAGTCCGTCAGTCGCTTGTCTGCAGGTAGTGAGGGCATTCCCTAGAATAGTAAAACCAGGCTCTCAGTCATTATGCTAAAGATTTAAAAGAGCAGAGTCTGGATAGGAACCTTGGTTGACAGATTCAAACATTACACACCCTGAGCAAAACGTACTTACTTCCCTCACTGAGCACAAATGAAGTCCATTTCTTAACACTGCCCTTCTCCAGGGAGCAAGTGACCTGCAGGCAGGGCCACTTTAGGCCATTTCCCTAGACTTCAGAACAGAGTAAAAGTAGGTCAAAGACCAGTGAACAACACAAGCAAACCAAGTGCAGGGGTAAGTAAGGCTGTGTAAGACAATCAAAATTTCCTCAAGGCATCCTAAAGTCTGTTTCAGGGGAGGGGAAGACATTGGAGGAGATGACAACCTCACCTGCCGCTGACTTGTGTCTTGAGCAAACTGAGCAACTCCTCAGCCTCGGTTTCCTCATTTGTGAAGTGGGAAGCAAAACAGAACTTGCCTCACTGAGCCGGTGAGAGAATTAAATGAGGCAAGGTGCACAGAGAGCCTAAACACAGCCTTGGAAAACACCAGCTGCATTTTTTGGTAAATTTGGAAGGGCACAAGAAGCCCTGCTTGGGAGACACAGTGGACATTCACGTGTCTCTGTTCATCAAATATTGTTCGGTGGTGACTACCAGGAGAGGCCTCACCCTAACTGCAGTGACTAGAACTAACCAGGGCCCTGTGCTAGTGCAGGGTCAAGCTTCCCTCGGGTGCTACCACCAGTGGTTGAGCACTGGACCAGGCACTCCTCTAACAGCAGTGCTTCCAAAACTGCTCAGTGGCCTTGCTGGATCTCCTAGGAGTAGGCTCTCCTCCCGTTTATTCCCTCGTCCTTCATTCTGGGCCAAACTTGCATCCAGATTTGACAATCCCCTCCCAGGTCTGACAGCCCCCTCCCCCAGGCCAGCCTGCCATTACCTCTGCCACAGGCATTTGCCCCGAGAAAACCCACACACATTTAATACTGCCTTTGCATCTGCTTCTCTGAAGGCCTAAGATAACACACTTTCCCATGGTTCTTTTCCAACAGTGGGCAACTTCTACTTGTTCTGGGAGGCCTGGACAGTCTGCTCAGCGATTCGCAAATGCCACCTCATTCTAGCAGCTACAGGAAGCAGCAGAGGGGAAGCAGGAGTAACAACGCAGGTCCTTGTTGGTGAGACTGGCATAAACATGCAGCCAACTGAAATCTACTTCCTTTTCAGGGACTCATAGTTTCTGGCCAAGGAGGGGCTAAAGGAGAGGTTTTTTTTTTTTTAAGACATTAATCTTCTTGGTCAAATAATTTAACCTCTCAAGGTCTCAGATTCCTGGACCAGAAGTTTAGATGGGGGCCTGTTTTCTATTAAACTTATAGGTTAACAAATGCTAACAACATACTAAGGCCAAAGCTTTCCAGAAAGTCTAAAAGAGAAATGAAAAGGCAGGGGATACTGCCTGGCAGTGGAATTCATTGTCACACAAGACTGAGTCAGGACTGGACGTGGTGACATGCCTCTATAATCCTAGCTACTCAGGAGGCCAGGGTAGGGGATCTTGCCCACGCCAGTCCAGGCAAAAGCAGGAGACCTGTCTGAAAACAAACTAAAGCAAAAAGGACCGGGGGTGTGGCTCAAGTGTAGAGCCCTTGCCTGGCGGTAATCATCAACTTTAACTTGGGGTTGCACGGTCCCTCCCCACATTCCGTAGTTTAAATAAAAAGTTCACATTTTTCTCCACAGAGAAACTCAGGGGTGTGGCCTCAATAGCTGGATACTGAATCAAGAAAGTAGTATGTTCTCGAGTTCATCATGATCCTGGGTTTCCAGCAAGAATTCAGTACACCTAAGTAGATGGGGAACAAGGACCCGCCTCCCTGTGATGGTCTTAAGCAAAAATCAAGAAATAACACATTCACTTTTGGTGGCCTCCATCTCTTCTTTTGTACCCCCTACTTCTTCACACACATCCCCCTCCAAAGACTCAGGCTTTATTTTGCTTCTGCTGCTGCAGACCTCCTTAGGAGTAAGATCTACTCAGACCTGACCTTCCCTCAATCTGCTGCTCCACCCTGATTTTCATCCAGTTGTTAGAGATGACTGAACTATTTCACACTAATGTGTGAATGATCCAAAACAGGTTTAACACTGTGACTATCCTGTGAGTATTCAAAGATGATAAAGAAACACCATTTGTTTTGTAATTGTTAAAGGTCCTTCTCCTTCAGACTCCCTTCAGACTTTATCACATGGGCCATACTTACTTTTAACATCAAACATTCTGATGAAGCTCCACTCTCAATCTCTCTCTCTTTCTCTCTCTTCCTCCTCTTCCTCCTCCCCTCCCTCCCTTTTTTTGGGGGAGAAGGGAGGGTAGCTTGAGACAGGGTCTCACTGTGTAGACCAGGCTGGCCTTGAACTCTCAACCCTCTTGCCTCAACCTCCCAAATGCTGGGATTAAAGGGATGCACCACCACACCTGGTTTCACTCTTACTTGTAATCCAGGGTATTTCTGGCCTCATCCAAATCCAAATTGTCACCTCATTTCTCCTGTCACCTCTTTGCTCTGCACGCCCTCTGTATTGCAGGTATTGCATAAGGCCCTGTCCCAAAGTCTAGATTCTAAACCTCAGAAGCTGGGAAAACAAGGCAGCCAGACCTATGAGATGTGAACTTTCTGTTTTACCATGAGGGCTGCTTTGGTCTGCCTCAAATAAACCTGCTACCCACCCATGCACTGAGTCAAAATACTCAGCTTTGGTTAAAAAGCTTGACATCCTAAAATCCCATGTGTTCACCTTTGCGAGGTTACACACACACGCACACACACACCAGAGCTCGAACAGTGCAAAGATCAACTTGTGCTGATTTACACGGGTCGGATTGTTTCATGTAAATAAAGCAACTTCTGGCCCAATAAATGAGCCTTTCTTTTTCCCCTCGCTACCCTCCCCTTTTCTCTTTGCCTCCCATCTTTGGTTAAAACATAATGCAAACAAGGGGCCTAACGACGAAGCCCCAGCCACACACAACTCACAGACGTCCTGATTCTCACTAACCCATCTCTACCGCTTGGGCAGGACGCTATGGTCAAAGTCAGAACCCCCGCCCTGAGCCAAGAGGGGATGCCAAGGCCCGGGAAGGGAGGTGGGACAACCGAAGTTAAAGCACACCGCCCCTCCAGAATCCCTTCCGACAGCACGGTGGAACCCAGTCCCCGTGGAAAATCACGGCCCGCCGCCAGCCAGCTTGCACACGCGGCCTCCGGAGTCTCGGGAATCGCCACCAGGGAGGCGGGCGGGCCTCTGCCACCGCAGACTCCGCAGAGCGGAGCCTCCGAGCGCTACGTGACGAGCCGAGGGTTCCCCCGCGAGGCGCCAGGAGGCCCCGCCCGGTCCCTGGCCCGCAGCCCACGGCCGCCCACCGGGCGCCTGGGGATCGGCTGCTGCGGGGACCGGGAAGCAGGCGCGGGGAAGGCGCCGCCCCGAGGGGCGGACCCCAAACTTCGCAGCGCCTGAAAAGCGGCGCGAGCGCGGGCGCGGCCGGAGCCGCCCCTGTGCTGCCACCGCTTCCGGGGCCGCGCGTCCCGCTCGCCGCCCGCAGCCATGGCCAAGCCCCTGACCGACCAGGAGAAGCGGCGGCAGATCAGCATCCGCGGCATCGTGGGCGTGGAGAACGTGGCCGAGCTGAAGAAGGGCTTCAACCGCCACCTGCATTTCACGCTGGTCAAGGACCGCAACGTGGCCACCCCGCGCGACTACTTCTTCGCGCTGGCGCACACGGTGCGCGACCACCTGGTGGGGCGCTGGATCCGCACGCAGCAGCACTACTACGAGAAGTGCCCCAAGGTACCGGCCGGGGGCGGGCGGGGGGGTCTCAGAGCCGCTCCCACCCGAGACCCACGCCCGGGGATCCCTCGCCGCGCCCTGTCCTTGTCCTGAAGTCCCGGGAGACGGGCCTGGGCTGCGGGTGGGCAGCCCCAGGGACCTCGCCCACCAGCGCCCAACTCGAGTCACCGCGCCGTGCGTCCCGGGGACCGCCTGGTGACCAATGCCCAGGCCTCCCTCGCCTGTCCACTAAGTAAACATTTTTGGAGTGCCTACTCTCAGCATTTAAGCAGGAGGTAACCTAACGGATGCCTCTTGTCCTGGATGTCAGGCCCGGTCTACCTTGACTTTGACATTCAGTCTGAATAAAAACCGTCAAAAAGCAGTCAAAAGCCCCGCTTTGGGGGAGCTTAGGGACTAGGGAAGGGAAGGGACACAAATGTGAAGTTCCTCAAATGGTAATTTGTTCCAGCCTTTGACTGGGACTGCCTTAGTGTGGAGCAGAGGGAAGGGAAGGGAAGGGAAGGGTCCCGCCCCAGTTTGCGCGAGTGGGGTGTGGCACTCCTCATCTTCATTCATGCGAATGGAGGCTGAGGGCCAGGCAGAGCCCAGGACTCCTGGTCCCTAGGCATATCAAGCCCCATTAAGCCCCACCACCTCATGACCTGCCCCGGCTGCCCAGGAACTCTGTTGACCGACTACCTCCATCTACTGCGTGGGGGCTGAACCCGAGAGTGCCTCAGGGCGGTTTGAGCCCACAAGGGGATACCATCTCTTCCTGACCATTCTGGAAAGGGACAAGAAGCAGATGAGAAGGATTAGAGAGCACAGGGCAGAGTGTGGGGCTGTGCAGGGTAAGGGTGAGAGGCAGCAGCCCTGTCAGCTGGAGGAATGGTTGTTGGGGCTTGTATTGGGAGAGAAAACTGGAAAAGCTGGCTTTTCCAGTACAGTGGAATTTGTGAAAGATTGGGATATATCCTGGAGGCAATGGGAAACATAAATAATTACTTATTTTTTAAAATATGTAAAAGCACAAAAAATGATCTGCCCTATGATTCCCAAGAACTATAGGAGTTGCTAAGACAGAGAAAGTAAACTTAGAGTAAGAAACTTCAATTGTAATAACATTCTCAGATGGAAATTCGCTCTAACTGGCCCCAGAAGCCTAGCCAACTGCTACCCAAATGTATCCGTTTACAGCCCTGGAAATCTAAAATCTAAATGCATCTTTAGAAAACGCTTTGTGTACACATTCTTTGGTTGTATCGTTTTGTTTGCACAAGGGGATGTTGTTAAGTACACTGTACTGCACCTTGCATTAAAAATCATGTTTAGGGCTAGCGATGAACAGTGGTAGAGTGTTTCTGGGGTTTGATCTCCAGTGTATATATAACGTCCCTCTGTAGCTTTTAGCCCCACAGAGCACACAGAGCCTTGTCTCTTTCTCCTCTGCTGACTGCTCTGCTACTTTATGATTTTCCTGGTTTCTCCTGTGGACGGTCCTTTTCTATTCCAGTGCAAATTTAAGCCAGGTATTGTGACAGGGACACACTGGGATACAGCAGTGATCATGACTCACTCCATACTTGTTAATAGTGTCTTCTCCATGACAGTCTTTATCTAAGCGGCATGGTTCCTGCCCTCACAGAGTGAAGGAAGGCAGATGTGTCCAAGCTTCTTTCCAGTCTCCCTTTGCTTTCCACTAGCTGTGCAGATGAGTCCTGAGTCTGGATCTCTAGTCTGAGTTCTTTTGCAAACTGCATTCATACATTTCCAAATGCTTAGTGAACATAATTAAACGTCTTATTTCCTCAAACTCATCATGTCCTATCCTGTGTTTCTGAATGTCATGACATCATCTTCTTGACAGTGGCCCAGACACAAAACTTTGTTTCACCTTTTCTTCCTCCTGTATTCCCCACTGGCTCATTTTCTTCCATTCTCACTTTCTACCTAGATGAGGCCCTGGCTACTAGGCTATTGCAGCAGATTGCTAAGCAGTACAACCAGCAGTGTGAGACTGACTGTGGCCACAGATGTATTTTGATTGGCCAGCAAGACATCTTCCAGCAGTTTCACTTCAGTGCCTTTGGGCAGGACTCTTGCACGCTCCCGTTAGTGGCCAGGCACTCTTCAGTGTTTAACATAGTTCTTTTCTTGGCCTGGCTCATAAAGGCATTGAGTTTAATCCCATCTCATTCTATGCACTGTTGTCCAATTAAGCTTCCTAAAGCAACACGTCTTGCCCTCTGCTTAGGTATCTTGGCCTCTATGGAGGCCATACCATAGTCCTTACACACTTAAAAGCCCTTCTCCATCCAGACGAACATGTCCTTCCCATGTTCTCTTCCATTACCCTCTTGAACCTACCCTTCTCTCACCACTTCTGGGCCTCGGCTCACACCACACCCTTCCCTTAGAACACCACATGTGTCTATGCTCCATGCCCTGCAAGGCACAGGTTTGTTGCCACAGGTTCTGTATATCTTTCCAGAAGTACCCAGGAACTCTGACTAATGCTGGGAATAAAACCAAAATACTTTTTAAAATACTGGTATCCTTATGTCATCTTTATTCTGTCTTTATAAGCTTTTTGAAAATGTCTGCTTTTCAACTGAGGCCAATAGGAAAAGGGGACCAGGAGCTAGAGAAAAGGTGAGATCAAAAAGAATTAACCTAGAAGGTAACACACATGCACAGGAAATCAATGTGAGTCAATGCCCTGTATAGCTATCCTTATCTCAACCAGCAAAAACCCTTGTTCCTTCCTATTATTGCTTATACTCTCTCTACAACAAAATTAGAAATAAGGGCAAAATAGTTTCTGCTGGGTATTGGGGGGGGGAGAGGGAGGGGGCAGAATAGGTGGTAAGGGAGGGGGTGGGGGCAGGGGGGAGAAAAGACCCAAGCCTTGTATGCACATATGAATAATAGAACAATAAAAAAAAAAGAAAATGTCTGCTTTTATGTAAGTAAACTATTAGTAATAGTATAAGCATAAAATTTATAAGGTATATTGGAGATGTTCACATGTCTTACTGTTAGGCATGTATAATGAATCTTTGGAGAACATTAGTTAACACAATAGCACAGTTCTATTTTTCAAGGTCTTATATATTCTCAAGTACAAGGTGAGGTTTTTCTCCTCCCAAAATACCTCTGAGAAAATAGGAGATTATCTGAAATTCCTGTCCTTACAAAATCCTTCATGCAAGGAAATTCTCTCTCATTTACTTTTATTTAGAGCAACCCCTTTTAGGGCTCCTTGAAATGTCTTAAAGTATTCTTAATATACCTATTTACATATATATATATATATATATATATATATATATATATATATATATATATATGTTTTGGGTGGGGGTTGGGACTGGGGTTTGAACTCAGGGCTTTGCACTTGCAAAGCAGGCATTCTACCTCTTAAGGCACACTTCAGTCCATTTTGCTCTGGTTATTTTGGAGATGGGGTCTCCCAAACTATTTGCCCCAGCTGGCTTCAAACTGAGATCCTCCCTATCTCAGCCTCCAAAGTAGCTAGAATTATAGGTGTGAGCCACTCTTGCCCAGCTATATATTTTAACATATTTTAAGTTGATGCTAATTTAGAATCTTTAAAAGGGAGAAATTTAACACAAATGCAGTCACTATTCCTGAAACTACAACCTCACAATTTCAAGGGTTAGCTATAGACTGCATTTATAAACAAGCTTTTTATCAATCACTAGAAAGAAAATGAACAAAATATCACAGTTCTATTATAGCTATATTGAAAATACATATGAGAAAGACTGAAACCCAGTGCTAATATTACACAAGGGAATATTTGTGGCTTGTGATACCATTTTTTGCGGCAAGAGTAGCCTCATGTACAAGAACTTCCATTTGGCCTAGGTGTGCCAGGAAAGGTGCCTTTTCCCCAGCAGTGGTAGACTGGCAAGGGCCCTGATGACAGCATTAGAGACATTCAAATAGCTTGGATAAAAATGGAAAGCAGTGTTAGATACCTCACAGAGACACAGTGTTGACCATAAAACAAAAGTGGGAAAGAGTGAATTCTCTAAGGTGACATCTTAAAATAGTTTTACTTTAGATATGAGTATATGTGTAAATAATGTTAAATGCAATACCCATTTATTATACGGTACTGTATGCGTGCTTAGTATTTTGGGGTTGGTCAAATACTTTAATCTCAGTTCTTATCTTATAGAAATGAGTCTGTAAAACTTAGATGACTTTATACTGTTGCATTTACAGATTCTTGTTGTTTTGTGTCTGTTGAAGAAGAAAAGCGTAACTAATAGAGTAAGATATTGTGAAAGGGGAGTCGAAAGTTGCTCACTAATCCTTATGTTTTTAAATTAACAAACTGTACTTTTTTAAAAAAGGTTTTAGGCAGGTCTGAACTTTGCCCTTCTCTCTTTTGACTCTGATTGTATTTATCTGACTTTTCCCATGTCAAAGGCAAACAGTTTCTAAGTCCATAGAAAAATTTCCTACTTCATCAAGAGCAAACACTGCCAAACCTTAGAAAGTCTCCTTATTCTAAAGGAGTTATTCTCAGTTGATGGACTTTCTAGAGCAATTTTAATTCTGATGTTAATTGTAAAATTCCTTGCAGCAATAATCAAGGAGGGATGTTTTCTAGCTATAGTGGGGAGGAGGAGAGTTAGTCCTGATGTTTCTTGGATGACTTGAGGTGGTCAGAGCCAGTCTGCCTGATCCTCACCCACACAGTGAATGCTGAGCTGTGGCAATGACTTCTGTTTGTCCAAAATATATTTTATTCATGAAGCTCATGAACAACACCTGAATCTAATTAGTTGGATGAGCTTGTGTTTTTTTGGTTTTTTGATTCTTTTTCTCCCTGGGGGGTTAAAGATACTGAGCTACTTTACCAAAAATAGTATAAAATGGTTTTCTTGAAAACAGTGGTCAGTCACACTTTCTGTATCCTGTCATAGATCTTTAGGAGTTTCATTTGAACTTAAAGATGTCCTGCTTGTTTATATCTCATTGGTGGCCTAACATACGCCTTTGTGTTTTTATGTTACTAAGTATGGTTGATCTAATAAAGGAATCATGACCTTTCCTTTCTTTATTTCAGAGGGTCTATTACCTCTCTCTGGAATTTTACATGGGCCGAACATTACAGAACACCATGATCAACCTTGGCCTGCAAAATGCCTGTGATGAGGCCATTTACCAGGTACATCATTCCCATAGTTTTCTCATCTTCTCCCTTTAAATTTCACGTTCACTTCAGGAAACTTGAGGACACACACACGGTATGATAAATTGCCTCTTTCGACATGGTTATTACAAACTATTTGAAATATCCATTACTAGTGCTCTCTGGTGTAAAAGAAACAACCAGAAAAAGAAGTTAGAGAACTGGTTATTATTCGTGAACATTTTAGAAATTAGCATCTGAACAAGACTTTTAAAACTCTCGTAAAAGAACTGCAGGCGTCACTTTAGGCTTCTTTCTACTTTTTAAGAAATGATCAAAGTTTGACAGTTACTCATATATCAAGGCAGTATGTGACCATGATGAACTTTTAAAATTCTGTTGTCATTCTGCACTATTGCCTAATGAGATGTAAAATGCACTTCCTCCTTAAAGCATGAGGCTGAGGTCTTAACCAGAAGTGGTAGCTGGCTTTCATGAATACATTTAATTATTTCTTTAGCTAGCTCCATACAAAAAGCAGAGTCCTTTACTTTTTGGGTGTGGCTGAAAGAAAGAATATATATTCGCAAAGACAACTTAAATTCTAAGTGAGAGACTGCTCGTTTCCCACAGTTTAAGATTGTCCTATGTGGCCAGCTGCTTTTCACTCAGGGCTAGTGTTCTCATGTCAGTTAGATACAGCATTTCCTGTGGAAGAACAATTGCAGCTCTCCTCCACTTCTGCTTTCTTTTTTTCCCCTAATATCAGCTGAAAATAACATGTTCCTGGGAGCAGCATATAACCAGGTGAGATGAAGGGACTTGAAGCTCTTTACTCAAGATGTAGATTTTTCTTTAGTCTTACACTTTTAGAATTTAAAAATCCTGACTGGGAGATAGTTAGCCCTGGCATTTGGCCTGCACAAGGACCCAGAGAGCTCTAGTCACTAGGGAGTAAATTTAAAAGCCTCTTCAGTAGTGAAATGAAGTAAAACCATGTTTGAACTCTTATAAGATTCAATTGTCAAGACTTTTATGAGAAGCAACTTTGGGTGCAAGGGTAGGAATCTGAAAAGGTGACTCCATTGGAGTCAAGTGGTAGAGTACTAGAGTACCTGCTTTGCAAGCATGATGACCTGAGTTTAAAAAAAAAAAAAAGAGGAGTTCGCAGGCTGGGGGAAGAGCTCAGTGGGAGAACACTTGCCTTGAGTTCAATCCCCAGCACTGCCCAAAAAACAAAAATCAGGAATTGCAAAAGTGACTCCATGAAAACTGGGTCATCAGCCTCAAGCAGAGTTACATCCTATGTGCGGATGTTCAATGTGTGATTTAATTTTCCATCTTAAAAACTTTCCAATTTTATGGGCTCTGTGACTTTCAGATAAAAACAGTCATTTCATATTGGACCATTCTTTAGCCAAGTTTGGGCTAGATTGTCCTCTAGTCAGTGTAGAACAGATCATTTGCTTTATCTGGTCACCAGTTTCCACATTGTAAGATAAGCGATACTACATGATCTCCTGGGCTGCAATGCTCTGATAGCCCTGGTGTTGGTGACTCTGACTGTGTGATCCCCAGCACTTTGGGGCAGAGAACTCACTGCCAACCAGTCCCACATATCCTCAAGTTCACAGAGGCACTGTGGTCTCCCCCAGCCTCCAACTCACCCCAAAAAGAAGTGAGGAATTCCAGCCCCCTGAGGTTGGACTGAAGAAGTGAGGCTTCCCTGATGGCAGTCAGGTCCCAGGTCTCCTGGGCAATGACTCACTAACTGGTTTTGACCCTACTGAATAAATATGTTGTGTTCATGGAAAGATGGATGTCAGCCCTCACACCTTTTGACCTTTTTTCAAAATTTCTCAGTTCAGTTACTGTCAGCTTGGCGCTGGACCATTTCTAAGGTTTTAATCCTACAGCAAAAAAAATTATTTGAAAGTAACAGTAACTAACATATATTGAGGACGATCTACCCAGGAATAGTCCTAATGCTTTGTTTGTATAATCTCATTCAGCCCTAAATGAAATAGGTACTTTCTCCTTCACATTTTTTTAAACCAGAGGAGCGAGGCATAAGGCAATATAGTAGCTCACTCAGCAGCAGATAGTGAGGAAGTACCAGAGTCTGCAAGGGACACTGAGAGCCCACGTTCTTCTCCATGCTGCTACTGTGCCATCCCATCCCCTTCCCCCCCGAAGTCACCAACATCCTCAGTGTGTATCTGATGCTAGACTGAGTGTGAGGGAGCTGACGCTGATACCACTGGAGTTCATAGATAAACCTGGTGCCTGGCCCCCCACTTTAGGAAGTGGCTATTGTCTCTGAAATGGCCCGCCTGTGTATCCACACCCAATGTTGTTTTCCTTCCGTCAGCTGGGATTGGATATGGAGGAGTTGGAAGAAGTTGAAGAAGATGCTGGACTTGGCAATGGTGGTCTTGGGAGGCTTGCTGGTAAGTGGCGTTGAGAGGGAACAACATGGGCTGAGCAGTGCCTCCTCAGGTACCTTGCATGACCATGCTTAGAATAACCAGACTCGCTTCGTGAAGCACAAAGATGACCTATGGTAGATATATTTGTTCTTGAATTTTCACTGTAGTTTGATCAGTTCTGCACAGAGTAGAGACAGGAACTTGAAGGAAAAAGACATTGCTTAAAACCCTTCGTGACATTGCTTAAAACCCCGAAGTTAACCAGATCCTTCCTGTGCACGTAATGGTTTCCAAAGTGGCCCCTTTACCTCACAGTTGTTTGTTCACAGCTGGTCAGTTTGTAGATTTGTGCGGCATGATTCCAGTGGTAATCTTGCCTTATACTCTTGGCAGTTTGCTTTTTGGTTGACTAGTAAACAGTTATACACTAATATTGGTAAAACTGGCATAATACTATCCTTTTTTTGTGTGTGGAGACAATGTGAATTCCTTGCTTTATCGAGGGAATGGCTTCTCAGCAACATAGAAGAAAACATTAAAAATATAATATCGGCTCCATTAATTAAAATTATACATCCCTATAGCCAAGTAATTCCACTTCTTGATATCTACTGTAAAGGAAACACTCAGACATGCACAAGAACCTTGCTGAAATGGTGTTGTATATAAAAACAGAATATTAAAAATGGCCTAATCTTCAAAGAGCAAAGTTTATATATATGTAGCACTTCCCTGGATAGATCTCCAAGTTTAAAAAAAAAAAAGTCAAGTTGCATTAAAACCCATATAATATGATACCATTTATGTTTAAAAAATAAGTATTTTCCTTGAGATATATATATGTACACATATACATATATATGTATATGCCAGTATATCAGCACAAAAAGTTTTTAATTTAAATACAAAGCTTAGTTTAAATACTAAAGTGCTCTCGGTGATGGTGACCACTCTTGAGAAATGTGTAGAATTGGAGGTGACAGTCAAAGGGGATGTATCATTTTAATTTTTTTGTCTGTAACATTTTAATTTTTTCACATCTTTTTATTTACTTGATTTTTTACTTCTACAGTTCTCTTTTTTATTTTTTTAAAACATATTTATTATTATTGTACTGGAGGTACAGTGTGACATTTACTAAAGTTCTTACAATATGTCAGAGTTGAATTCACCCCCTCTATCATTCTGTTTATCCTGCATCCTCCCGCCATACATTTTAATTTTTTAAAGGAGGATGTGGGAATGTATGACTTGTGGAATTTAAACTTAATAAAAATATGCTACTACTCACATATCAGATTATATTCTGAATAATCAATGTTTCCTCTCTTTAGGAAAGGTTCAAAAAAACTCTTAATTTTGCACACACTTTCAAGTTTACTAGAAAGTCACTTGCATTTGTTTCATATTACATAATCCTTACTACATTAGTAGCAGTGTGCATGAATGCCGTTAGTAATAAAATTAAAGTAAAAACTATTAACACTGCCTGTGGCGTTCTTGCCACTGTCTCATGAAGTTCTCTGAGCTGTAGGAAGGCCGATGAGGTCAATGGAAAGCACATCAAAGACAGAGGATGAGCCTGCCTTCCCTTTATATGGAGCCTAAGCCCTTCAGTGTTGGTTGCCTTGGTCCACCCCACTCATCAATGACCTCGCTCTCAGGTCACTTGTAAGGTCAGAGAATGAAATGGCAAGTGAGGCTGAGCAAGTCTTGTGGGTGATACCATTTCTTACCTGGCTGGAAAGGTCAGACTCTAAGGATGAACTGACCAGGACCAAGGAAAAGCCAAACAGCCACAGCTCAGAGAGAGGAGGAACTGGAGCAGAGTGACACGATATGCACTCAAGGCTGGACACATTAGAATTACTCCAGAACTTCAGCTCTTTGCATTTGTGGATCTGTTTTACAGTTGCACTATGGACCTAACTCAGTCCCTTTTTGTTTGAATTACAGCTTTCAATGTTCCTTACAGTTTTAATTCCTATTGTATATTTCCTCATTTTCTGTACATGTTTCAGTACAAATTCCTGAGAGTGACAATCTGATTAATCTAACCCCTTAGTTCCCACCCAGGAACAAGATAGATCCCTACCCTGCCTGTTGATTAACTGTTCTAGATCAGATGCTTTGTCATTAGGTAGCAAAACCTAGCCAAAAAAAAAAAAGATTCAACCAGCAAGAAGATGTGTTATCACAGAACAAGAACTCCAGAGTTGGGTCATTTAAAGGGACTGGGGATGTAGCTCAGTGGTAGAGTGCTGGCCTAGCATGCCCAAGACCCTGAAATCCCCAGCATTGCAAAAGAATGAGGAGTGGGGGAAGGGAGGGGGAAGAGAAGGGGGAGGTAGAGGAGAAGGAGGAGAATATTCAGCATCAAAATTATGTCAGGACCCTTGGTCTCTTTGGTTCTTTTGCTGCCCCCTCCCCATGGAGAAAAAGATGGTGGCAGCAAGGAACTCCTTCACAGAAGTCTCCTCCTCCAGCAGAATTCCTAATTCCTTTGCATGCTTAGGCCAACACCAGCCACTGATGAAGGAAATAGAGTTATGTGATCGGCTTGCAGGCCTATTAGACCAGTCGAGCAAGGTTCACTTCCTGGTCCAGTCTTATGGAGCATGTGTCACCTGTATTCCAACAATAGTGGAATTCTACTTGCCAAGAAGAAAGAGTGTGCCACATTTCCAGCTAGCTAGTCAGGCGCCATAATAGAATGGGTCACATGTCATTTATGCTCTGCAGAAGCTGTCTTCTCAAATAGGGGGTCATGGACACAGCTTCCCTTCAAAAGGGGAGTGCGGGTGACCGTGGTGACCATATCTAATGCAGTAGTAATAGTGGTTGCCAGTATCTACAGTGGTTACTCTAGGCAGTGAGGTAACTGATGATATTTATTTTCTTCTCTATACACTTTTATTTTCTAAGTTTTCTATAATACTAGTTTTGTAATTAGAAAAAAGTTATTTAAAAAATCAGTTCCCATTGTGTAGCAATCTCTGTGCTTTCAAATGTGTTATTTTTTTTATAGAAAACTGTTTTGTGACTGCCATGTTTTATTTTAAGGAAAGACTTGAAATTGATCCTTTGCCTCATTGACTCTGTCTTCTTTCACCTGTCTTCTGTCTAATTTAGCCTGCTTCTTGGACTCCATGGCAACCCTGGGACTTGCGGCCTATGGATACGGTATCCGGTACGAATATGGAATTTTCAACCAGAAGATCCGAGATGGATGGCAGGTATGTGAACCATCTTTTTCAATTTTGTCATTGACTTACTTCATGACTGTTTGCACTGTGCTCTTACATGATTTATAATTTATGGATCTTTCACATTCCTCTGCCATTTGGTTGACAACAGTAGATACTGTCTGTGTCTCCACTTTGGATTATAATTCCTCAAGAGCAGAGACCCTGTGACTGTCATTCACCCTAGATCCACAGTGCTTGGTTCTGACTGGTGGACTCTCAGTTTTTGTCATCTATGAAATAATAATGACAGGACGTACCTCTCAGAATTATTACAAAGATTAAGAAAAATAATCTCAAAAAATAAAAAAATGATTGCCTTTCAACAACGAGTGTTCACCCAGTTGGAGTTATTTTCATCATTCTTGAAAGCCAGGTAGAATCTTGGGATTTGCTGCCTTCAGAATGTGGCCTTACAGGGGGTCTGAAATGTTTATCCCCGACCACTTGAATGTAGATCGTCTACAGAGTGTGACATTCCGCCCCATGGTCTGCAAAAGGAGAAGCACAGGCATGAATCATGCACTTTCCCAGTAATCCTTAATGGTAAGAACCATAGAGTCATTTTGTAGACAGAAAACTGAGTCCCTTATGGAGCGAAGTTACCCCAGATCACACTGCTGGTGAACGTGTGCCTGTGGTCCCAGATTTCCAGGTCCACATTCAGTATTCTTGTCTATTTCAAGGTCTTGCCCTCCTTAACATCTTAACATGCCTATCTTATAAGATACATAAGCTAAATGTCCTAATTTTTAATAAGATGAAATCATGCAATCTTGTTAACTCATATCAAATAAATCTGGTGTATATTTAATACATATGATTAAGTGCACCATAGAAATGTGCACAAACCCATCCAGATGGCCCCAGTTTGACTTTCATATAACCACATTGATTTTCAAGTATTTATTTCTTTTGTCTCTGGTAACTCTTTGAGTATACAGACAATGCTACTGTAGATATTTTTCCCTGATACTAAGTGTGATTTAGGCTTTCTGTCTCCTTATCTTTGTCTCATACATACACACCACTGGCAAAGATATATGGATTACGTTTTCAAAAAGCCTGAGCTCTGTAAGCATCCCCACAACTGGGAGTCCAGCTGCAGAGTGCTCAGAGATTGGATGGGGAGACAGAGGCTGGAGCAAAGGTGAGGAAAAAGAAGGAGAACAAAGGAGAAAAAATTGGCTGTTCTCTCCCGCCACCCCCAGAATTTGGACACTGTCTGGGTCAAGGAAGGAAGGAACTTACAGATATGGCATGAAGACAAAATGCAAAAAGGATTGAAGGAGGACATTAGGAACATACTAGAAAAGACATATTGCAAGCCAGATTCCAAATTTTGCTAAGGACCAGTGTTGTGTACATCTCTGCACAAGTAGAGCTGCAACATGATAGAGAAGAAAAGCTTGGGCACTATTTTCTTTGGAGACCTAATTTCAACTCATTACCTTTGTAAGGCGTGTTGCCTCAGTTAGGTTACCCAACTTCTCAGAGCTTCCGTTTCTTACCTGCAGAATGGACACACCAAGTTCACAGAATTAGTGTGAAAATATGTAGAATATCTAGCACACAAATAAGCACTCAATAAAATGAGCTTTGCTTAAGAAAAAAATGATGATTTAATAAATTTTAGTATGCTATGATAAAATATCAATACAGCCATTACTACTATATTTTTGGTCAATGTTGATAAAATAGGAAAATGTTTGTTATTTTAAGAAAAAGAACATAGAATTACATGTATAATAGGACTTTAACTAGCCAGAGGAGGCCAGGATGATAGAGGAAAAATACATCCAAGCTTCAACCTTAATTATCCTTGATACATGGGATTTCAGGTGACTTTTACTATCTTATATTTTTTTCTTCTACATGTCTCATATCACGTAAGAAATATGTGTCTTGTCATCATAAAAAGTTGTAGAAGTGAGTGGTGTGCCAGTGGCTCATGCCTGTATTCCTAGCTACTCTAGAGGCAGAGATCAAGAGGATCATGGTTTTCAGCCAGCCCAGGCAAAAAGCAAGGCCCTATCTAAAAAATGCCCAACACAAAAAAAGGCTGCTGGAGTGGCTCAAGTGGTACAGTGCCTGCTTAGTAAGTCCTAGGCTCTGAGTTCCAATCATAGTACTGCCAAAAAAAAAAGTTGTAGAAGTGATGGAATTGGTTTCTTCCCCAATGAAATAACCTAGAGTTCTTGGCTAAGAGCCTGGCTTAACAGGCATTTTCAGTATGGCCAACATTTTGACACAATCCAACCAAGTGACCTAAGAAAACCATTGTCAGTCTTTGAAAGTAGATTCATGTGGTACTCACTGTACTCCAGGATGTTTAAGAATTTTGCTTACTTTTTAACCACTGTTGTGTGAAAAAGTGAAAAAAAAACTCAGCAAATAAATCTCAGATTTTCCTCAAATGCATTCCCCACCCCAATTTTTATGATATATCACTTATTATTAACCATACCTACTTCTGGTCCTCTTAAATGGTCCTTATTCCAAGAAAACATTCCTTTTTCTCCAGACCAAGGAAGTATATTATTACCAGTATTCCTAAAGGAAAGAGAGGCCAAGTGCAGTGGTACATGTCTTTAATCCCAGCTATGTGGGAGGTGTAGGTAGGAGAATCAAAGTCTAAGACTGGTCTGGACAAAAAGCTCAAGACCCTATCAAAAACATAACTAAAGTAAAATGAACTGGGGTTGTGATTCAAATGGTAGAGCACTCACCTAGTAAGCGTAAGCCCTGAGTTAAACCCCCAGTCAGCTGATGACAACGTCACCAGCTAGGAAGATTTGATTTATTTATTTATTTATTTATTTAGTGATACTGCAGTTTGAAGTCAGGACCTGGTGCTATTAGGCAGGTGCTCTGCCCATTCCACCAACCCCTTTTGTGTTGGTTGTTTTTAAGATAGGGTCTCACTTGATGACCAGGCCAGCATAGACCATGATCCTCTTATTTACACTTCCCCAAAAATAGCTGGGATGACAGGCACACACCACCATGCCTGGCCATTGTTTTAAATGAGGTCTCATAAACTTTTTGCCTGGGCTGGCCTTGAACCACAGTCCTCCTGATCTGCACCTTTCAAGTAGTTAGATTACAGTCATGAGCCATGGGTGCCCAGCCGGGAATATTTTTGAGTCTCTTCAAGGAAGATTTGCAGGGGAAAAAAAGTCAATTGTGAAAACAATTGTGTTACTAAAATTCTAGACTAACTATGTACCTTATCAGTACTAGGTCTTCATGAAAATAACTCCCTTCCTGAAGCCAGAGCGGGGAAGGCATTTGCAGTAACCTCACAGGAAAGTTTACCAGTCACACCAGAGTTCTGGGCAGAAAGCATTCACAGTACACATCTCAAGTTGAATCAGTGTCTGCTCTTTGCTTAGAACTGTGCCAAGCCTGTTACAGCTAGTCATGCACCATTCACATTGTCCAGTTGGCTTCTAGTTAGCATTGCTGGATTTCTGGAACTCCCAGAAATATTTTTTCAATTATTTACATTACCAGAAGACAAAGTTTGTTGACTCTCTCCTGGGTTTGTTCACAAGTTCACGTGCTCAATGTCCTGCAGGTAAGGGAAAAAGCATTTCTTGGAATTCAGTCACTGTCGGAGCCCCAGAGCTGACCTCTGCATCACTGTGGCCTGCGATACACACTGCAGATTCCTCTAGGGAAGATGCCCAGTCTAGCTACCACCCACACAGGTTGGCTCTCTCACCAAAAAGAGCCACTCTTGCTTTGTTTTGGGTCAGCCCCTGGTAGCCTCTAGGGTGGAGCAGGTCTGATACCCCATGGATGTAAGTGAAAGCCCTTCACCCATCTTGCCCTCCTACATAGTACACTAGGGATCGCTGGCTGCGTGGCAATCTAAATTTACAGCACATTTTGTTGATTTGTGGGAAGAAAGCCAGGGAGAGGAGGCTTACCCCATCCCACAGCTTCTGGATTTGGAGGTGGCAGGAGCCGGTTCTTTCTCTTCAGAACTGCTGAGATGAACTTGTGGTTATGAAATACCTGTTTTTCAGTCTACCTTAAAAACAAGCCTTGTAGAACTGACGGTGTTATTCACTGATTCAGTGATGGTGTTATTATTGACTCAGCAAGGGACTCGGGACACAGATTAGCCAGCAACAGGGTTTCCAATAGAACTTGTTAGCACAGGAAATTAAAAACAGCCATCGTTTGGGAGGGACAAATAAACCAGGATTTAATGGCATTGAGACTGATGAGCTGACTAGCCCTTTGTCACTTAAAAGTGGACCCTCAAAAGAGCAGGAGTTGAGGGGGCCAGCAATGGGGCATGCAGAGTGTTCTCTCCTCTGAGCACCCCAGGCTTCTTGAGGGTAGAACAGCCCGCAGTCCTGCCACCTCTTGGTGTGGCTTTCCAGAGGAAAACTGTTCTTGCCTCAGTGTCGTCCTGCGCTCCCTGCAGGAGTGTTTGACAACAGTACTGAAGGCTGCAGGGAGGTGAACAGGCTACAGGTCTCCCTGTGACAGGAAGCAGTGCTCACAGTAACTCGTATTTTAAAACCCCACACTTGACCTTGTCCAAGTGCAGTATAAAGGATTTTGTAGATCAAGACATTTTGTTCCTCTGTTGATATCATCTGGTTAGTAACACGTTAGTGGACTCAACAAGCTTCCCTGCAACTGGAAAGTCTCAGCCATTTCCCTCTTAACTTTTATTTTATGTTTTGTTCTCTTTAGGACTGGGCTAGTAGAAGTTTAAATTCCGATACATAGAATTAGTTATTGACTTTGTATGACCTTGTAGCTTCTGGCTGCTCTGTAGAATGATGGACTTCAGAGGTCTCCCCAGCCCTACTGAGAGATTCTGCATTTAAGTAAGATGTGATTTACTGAGTAGCTTCAGTCTGTCTCCAGCCTTCCAAGCAAAGCTTCGTCTCACATCTATCTCCTCCTGCCTCCAGCTCCCAATTTTTCCACCTAAAGATGGTGTTTCTCTGAGTCTCCTACCCATGCATCATTAGCAACCATATCACTGTCAACAATATCAGCAGAGGAGCAAGACGTCTTGACTTTCAAAATCCTTTATGCTGTGTTTGGTCAAGGGTGGTTAATATGAGCAGGCAGGCATTTTGATATAAAGTCACACCCTATGGTTGAATAAATGAATGTGTGTTTGCTTGTCTGGCTGTGGACATTAATATTTTGTCTAACATCCCAAAAGACAGAAGCTGTGTTTATTTCTATCTCTTCTCACTATGCCTGGGGCAGGCATTGAACTCATAGTCAGGTGACCATGGGGTGTCCAGTGTTTTGTCATAATTCCTAAGCAATGTCATTTAAGATAAAGCTGAGTTTTTCTAGGAGGTGATGGTAAAGAATGAAATAGCCAAAATATTCATAGTGATCTTATTGACAAGGGAATTTTATCCCTCCCCCTTTCTTTGCAGAACACAATTTATATATATATATAATTTTAAAAGTTTCAGTGGTAATACATAGCATTTACTTTTAAACTATATCTCCCCCTACACACCAAATGTTCTTGTTTTGGTCTTCTTGTTCATTACAAGCCAAAATTCATCTGACATTTAGGATACTCTAAATAGAAACTATGGTTTTTAAATTTTCTATAAGCAATGTGTTGTTATAGATTAACATGCATACTTGGGAAAATGTTGAAATTGTCAATAAATTCCTTAGCTCTTACTATATGTCATCTTCAAAATAAAACCATAATATGTAGCTCATTATGAAATTTAAATTGCACCAGATTAAGGGAAACAGAGACTATGAAATAGATTAGTGCTCTGTACTTACATTGGGATGTTTTGTGTAGGGAGTTTTCTGTAAGTAGCATTTTCTACTGATTCTGCAGATTCTAGGCCTGAGAATCTTGACTGAAGCCAGCATGGAGGGCCGAGCATGTCCCCACATCCAATGGTGAACATCTCTGGAGGGCATCTGTTTAGCTCCAGCTGGACAATGGAATTCACAGATGTTAAGACACAGGCTCTGGAACCTGATAATGTATAAAAATAAATATAATAATATATATAAAACACTTAGGGCTGTATCAGCAAGTATTGTTATTGTTAATTTAGGATATAAAACAGTAATAAAGATCAATTGAGATTGACCAGTCCAAAATACTCTCTCTCCAAAAAGTATTCTTGAGTAGTTTCAGGTAAAGATATTTTTATTGTGATGTAATTGAAGGACTAGGTCCACATCTCCTGAAAATTAACTCTAAGCCATGTCCTTTTTGCAGGTAGAAGAGGCAGATGATTGGCTCAGGCATGGAAACCCTTGGGAGAAGTCCCGTCCTGAATTTATGCTGCCTGTGCACTTCTACGGAAGAGTAGAGCACACCCAGACCGGGACCAAGTGGATCGACACGCAGGTATCCAGGTGTCCTCACAGCTGGCATTTTATGCATTGAATACGTGTCACACAGGACAGTGTGAGTGTGATGTTGAGAGCAGTGTGGTATGTATTAACTAGCAAGCACAGTGTGTTTTTATAAATGAATCTGTTACTCCTCTTAGTGCAATTCATTTCAGAGATAAGGGAACTGACACCAAGAGAGAAGTGACTTTCCCAGTTTACCAGGATCATATTGCAATCAGCTTTATCAAAAATTAATCAGTTCTATAATACCTAGCATGCTTCGCTCTCTGGTTTTATTTAAGTTGTTGATACCACAACAGAGTAAGTTTGAATGTCATTCCTCACTTACAACTTCTTCAGAATAAATGCTTTAACACTGCAGTATTTACTTAAAAGAGTATCAAAGTTCATATTCGTTGTAAAATCAAAATAATAATGCAAGACGTGCAAGATAAGTGGTTTGTGCCAGATCACCTCTAGAGAAGTAGTGCTGGGTGCACCCAGTGGTGCATGCTTTGCTGTCCTGTACTTCCTGACAGATGACCCCTATTCACTGCTAGACCGGCCTGCCCAATCAGGAGAGCATCATTTGAAATATTTAATGAACAAAGTCTGGAGCTAGAAAAGATTTATCCTCAAAAACTTCAAGAGAATGGTAAAGACCAACTAAATTCTGTCCTTATATGTGAAAATTGAGTGTAAAATTCAATCAAAATTGTTTGGTTTGTGGGCTAGTCTCTATAAATAAATGCTTTATTTTAGGTTAAAAGAGCTAAGACCCATGTTACACTAATTTTTTTAAATAGTGGCTCATTTTGCTAATCCTTATAGAGCTATTCTTAGTTCAGGAAAATAAGACTTTTTAAAAATTGCTTCTGGCTGGGCACTGGTGGCTCACACCTGTAATCCTATCTGGTCAGGCAGCGGAGGTCAGAAGGATCATAGTCTGAAGCCAGCCTGGGAAAATAGTTCACAAGACCCTATCTTGAAAAAACCCAACATGAAAAAGGGTTGGTGGAGTGGCTCAAGTGGGAGAGTGCCTTTCTACCTAAGCGTGAGGCCACAAGTTCAAACCCCAATACCACCAAAACAAAAAAATTGCTTCTTATCTGAATGTGAGTTTATTTGACATTTGAAATGATAGGTTAGAAACTAAAACAGGTAGATAAAAGTGCAATGGAATACTTTTCTGTGATTTGAAGATAAGCTCCTAATTTGTTTTGTTTTTCATTTTCATTAAACAGTAGATCACAATCTAAGTTGCACCTGGTTACAAACACCATCAGGAGAGCCACAAATTAATCAGTACTTAATCCACCCAAAGAATTCACACATTTTTGGTACTATAATAAATATTTGGTATAGAATTTTGTACCTACAACTTCACCAGTGACTTTTGATCTGTCTAAAATGCTGCAGTTTACACAATTAATCTTGGAAGCATTCTCTTTACACCGTGGGTCCCACTGCTGAGCTAACTTGTATTTACAAAGCACCTTTAGATGTTTGCATACTGAATCCAGAAATTCAATTGCGGAGAGTGTGTTTCTAGGTCTGCAGAAGTGAGGTTATGGGCAGAGGTAAAGTCAGTGAGCTGCGCATGCCATCTCCTGAATCAGCCCCGCATCGGTAGCTGGTGAGATCAGAGAACATGAGGCAAGGGATGCCTTCCAGCACACTGAGCTATTTGTTTTGCTCTCGTGTAATGCAGGTCCTTTGAGAAGAGACCAAAATATATAGGAGGGAGTGCCTGTGAAGACAAAAGGGGAAAGGATCAGGAAATGGGAAGTCTTCAGATGGTGGCTCAAGTGTGGCAGAAGGAGGGAGGATTCTCAAGGAGAGCCTCAGCCCGCAGCGCTGCTCTGAGAAGTGGCTGGGCTAAAGGCCTGGATTAAAGATCGCCCACTGGAAAAGCTCTGGTGTTCCAGCTCTGCTAGAATACCCCAGAGAGAACTCACAGCTCCCTTGGGTGAGCTCAGAGGAGGTGAGCCCCCAGGGACAAGTTCTCTCTGAAGTTCCCTGAGAGGAGATCCAAGGGGCACACTTACTGGGCCGTTTGGTAACACTTTGAGGTCAAAAAGGCAAATCCTAGCTACTCATCATGGTTCATCCTATAATCTCAACTACTCAGGAGACTGAGATCAGGAGGATTGTGATTCTAAGGCCAGCCTGGGCAAAAAAGTTCATGAGCTCTCATCTCGACCAATAGGTAGGCATCCCACCTGCTGGAAGAGGATCACAGTCCAGGCCAACCCAGGCAAAAACACCTGACTCTGTCCCCAAAATAGCTAAAAAGTAAGAAGGGCTGGAGTGCATGACACAAGAGGTAGAGCACTTACCTAGCAAGTGCAAGGTCCTGAGTTCAAAACCCAGTAGCACTGAAAGACAGAGAGAGGGAGGGAGGAAGGAGATGTAAAGAAAAGAGAAAGGAAGGAAGGAAGGGTCTTACTTACACCCAGATTCAATCCCTCTCTATAAATGATTTCTCCTGATTAATCACAACTTGCTTTAAAAATCTCTAGGGACCTTGATTTCTTAGGGAAAGAGCTTAAAATGAGGGTGACTCTTTACGTGAGGTCCCAGTGATCATGAAAGCATGTCTCCATGTGTATGATTGGTGTGAGCTGTGTACTTCATCAGTCATGGTTCCACAGACCAAATTAAAGTCGTGTGTGGACATTTCAACTCTGCCTCCTCATGTCCAAAATGAGTGGGCTGCACCAACGATCTCTAGTATCCTCCAGTTCAATTATTCCGTCAGTTTCCTTCTTGGAGCTTGACTCTGGTGAGGCAGGGATGGAAAGGAGTCTTTCCTCACACTTTAAATGCACTGTGAAATCTCGTCCATCTTCTGCTCTTCTCCACTTGAACGACTGTCAAAACTCGCATCTCAAACCCAGCTCAGCTAATCTTCACCTGATTTGGCAGATTAGTATAGGAATCACTAAAATAACTCTTCTTTTCCCAATGTCAAAAACTGTAGCTTAACATTTTAAATATCACGTCTGAGGTATCTTCAGACATTTCCCATACAATTGATTTTTACAACAAATGTGAAATCAGATCATTGAGTAACTCACACAGAATTTATCCTAGTGGTTACTTTTAGGTAGGCACAGATTCATTTGTCATTTTGCTAGCAGTAATAAAATCACTTTATTATTATTAGAGCAATGGCTTGGTGTGAAACATCAGATAAGCTTTTCTAATACTAGCACCCCACAGTTCCATTCCAAAGCCTCTCTTCTCAGAGCAAGAAGAACATGGGAAGTCAACAAAGAAAAGCTGTAAAGGACAATCAGTCTCAATGGCCCAGGGAGGAACTGCGTGACCTCTAATACTCCCTCTATCCCTGCAACCCTCTTCTTGGTTTACACTTCACTCCATTTCAATTGGTGATGGAGCAGAAATAGAAAGAACCCACTGCAGTCTCCCAGCCATTGTTCAGGCTGTGTCATCACACTCAAGAACTGTGAGCCACTGCTTCTTTTTAATCCCATAGGTGGTCCTGGCTCTGCCGTATGACACCCCTGTGCCTGGGTATATGAATAACACGGTCAACACCATGCGCCTCTGGTCAGCTAGAGCACCCAATGACTTTAACCTCAGAGACTGTGAGTACAGTGTGGGTTTTGCTTTCTTTGTGTGCATGCTTAATTGTTTTGATTGCTAGTTAGGATCAAATAGAGTTTGAGGAAAAAAAAAAAAGCCTTGAGTTTCTGATCTGGAAACTAAGCCAGCATTTTATGGAGCAAGTGAGAAGGACACTTTTAAAGCAGTCTTTCTGTAGTACTCAGACTCTCATGTGAAGGCCAGCATGGAGGTTTGTGGGTTCTTAGGAATCTTGGGAATGTCACATGGTGTGACAGCAAGTGAGATGGAGGGCCTTGCACCAACAGTGGCTGGTTTGTCTCTTATTGCTTGCTTTTCTGATGTTCCCCTCAGTCAATGTTGGAGACTACATTCAGGCTGTGCTGGACCGAAACCTGGCCGAGAACATCTCCCGTGTGCTCTATCCCAATGACAATGTGAGTGATCCAATGCCAATGCATGCAACTTACTGCTCAAGAGCCTATTCCGTCACCCTACAAGACATATCCAATGTGGATTTTTTTCCTTCACTTGCAGAATAAGCTCCATGTACCTTCCTGAGTTGTCTAGACTTCCCCCTCCCAACCAAGTCAGGAAAACAAATCTGTACAATTCATGAAATCAGAATTGGTGTTTTGCCTACTAATTGGGAAGCTCTCCAGATGTATCTCAAAACAGAACCCAGATATAAAAGATGAGGTGAATAGCTGGTGAAACCCTACTTCCTTTGTAGACACAAACTTCATCCGCTAAGTTAGAAACCCTGGAGGTCTCCTGCCTTGCTTTTTCCCTGGTGGCAGAGCTCTTCCTGGCCTTCTGTCCCCAAGCTTTTGTGGTCATGGTCCTTGGATTGGATCATGAACAAATGCCTGCTTCTTCTGCTGCTTGCTTGGATCTTCACATTTTTTTCTTACAGATGATTATCCTAATTTTACTCTAAAAAATGGCTTAGGTTTTTTTTTTTAATGCTTGGAAGTGGATCTCCCATGATTGCTGTATATTCATAGTTGATTTAAATATATGTTAACTTAAACTTCCCTCTGGGTAAAATCATTTTCTTTTAATCTGTAATGATTCCTTTTGAAAGTAATCTCAGAAGCAACCAAGTAAGTGCTTTGTTTCACAAAGGTGGTAGAAAGCAGAGATTTTGGAGACGAGAATGTAATGGTCCTTAAGACCAAATGTCCACTTGGTACTCAACCACAGTGTCTAACAAGAGGGGAGGAAGGATTTTGTGGGTTTGTTGCTGCTTGCTTAGGAACCTAATGATTTATAGCATTTTCTTTTGGGGAAGCCATGGAGACTTAAGTCCGTTTCAGCGCAACCTCTAACTCAAAGCTTATTCTATTTTGTGTCCAAAGTAAGAATGCTTGCAAGTCTGGGATCATACTGCCTTCCCAAATCCAGGCCTGCTGACTTCTGTGATGCGTGGGGCTTGAATTCCTCTCCTATCATCAGTGAGGACCAGCCCTGATTTCACTTGGAAATAATCATCTCCATTAATAGACAACACTTACTAAGTTAGCATGGGGTAAAACAAACAATAAAAAAAACCTAGACAACTTGGGTTAAGTAGCTGTTAGGATGATGTTTTGTTTTGTAGGAATGAGTTGATAAAATCACTTTTGTGCCATGATCCTTAAAAACAAACACATACCTTCTCCCTAATGTGGCCATAGCCCTCATCCACACTTCAGTCTTTCTTCCAAGAGTCGTGTCCCTGTCCTCGCTCTGCCACTGGTGAGCTATTTGTCCTGTGTGTAAAGCCCACGGTGGCTTCCTGTCATGTGTAAGAGAAGTGCAGAGTGTTAGGTGTGCTTCCTGGCTTCTTCACTGGTGTGGTCACAGTGCTGTGACTCATCTCCCATGATTTTGTGCCACAGGGAGGCCCCAGCTGTGTGACTGTCCACCCTGTTCTTTCCTACTTCTATGGAACACCTACAGGGAATACTCTGGCCCTCTGTGTTCATCTGACAAAATCATACCCATCTTTCAGGGCTCAGATAAACAATTACCAGATGTCTGCATGGTGGCTCACACCATGGGGGCTCATCCCAGCCCTTGGGAGGCTGAGGTGGGAGGATTCTGAGTTTGAGGCCAGTCTGGGCTACAAAGCAAGTGCCAGGTCAGTATGCTAGGCTATATAGTGATACCCTGCCTCAAAAAAAAAGAAAAAAATTCCTGATTATCCCAGAGTACTGTGTGTACATCTTAACTTTAATTTTTTTCTAAAAACAAATCATCACACTGTGCTTAAAGCCTTGTTTATACCTTTTCATTTCCCAACTAGTTTGAAATTCTTAAGGTCAAGGATTGTGTCAAATTAATCATTTTATTTCTAAGACCTTAAAAAACTCTTGGGATCAGTAAGTTTAAATTCATTACAGATAGATTCATGGTGCTCTTTGTTATCAGTTTTAGTATAATAATGTCATTATAATTTTTACAATGATACATGCCATTAGAAAAAAATGTAAACAATTAAAGAGTATCATGAAGAAAGTAAAAAAATAAAATAAAATAAGTCCTAATTCTACCACCTTATTCCCATTGGTAATACCACCTAGACAGTTTTCTATTGACTCAGTTTTTAATCATCTTCAAATTTTTAACAAAGTTACACATTCACATCATTCCATGAGGCTTATTATAAGGCAGTTTCCCATTTCCATTCCCCAGAAGCAAATTCATTCCTTTGCTTTTAATTGATTTTCTTGGTATTTCTCACTAACACCCAACTATTGCTACTATATGACTTTTCCACTTTCACAACTGTTTGCTGACTCCCCACTTTGAAGGATGAGCACAAACCTCACACTCTCACACATAGTCTACCTCCATATTTCCCATCCCCTCTTCTCTCAATGTGAGTCTATCATGATCTTCACCAGGCTCCTTTATTTTTTGGAGTGGTATAGTACTGGGGCTTGAACTCACGTCTCAAACTTGATAGTCAGGTGCTCTACCACTTAAGTCATGCCCCCAGCCCTTTTTGTTTCCGTTATTTTTCAGGTAGGGTCTCATGGTTTTGCCCAGGCCACCTGGGACCACGATCCTCCTATATACACCTCCCACGTTGCTGGGGTGACAGGCGTGAGCCACTGTGCCTGGTTCATCACCAGGCTCCTTAATCCATGTTTGGCTTCAGTAAGATCTTACATGTTTCCTCACCTGTCTGACGTTATGTTTCCCATGTCTTTCTTTTTGTGGGTTTCTCAACTTTTGTCAAAGTACACGTGCTACAGCCTCCCGGGAAGGACACAGGTGAGGTCAGTTTTTCTTTGAGACCTTGCAGATTAGAAAACCCCTTCATTCTGTCCTCTCATGACTTGTTTGCCCAGGGCTGGCAGAGTGGCTCAAGTGGAAGAGCACCTGCCTAGCAAGCATGAGGCCCTGAGTTCAAACCCAGTACCACCAAAAAAAAAAAAGATTCTCATGAATAGTTGTCTGGATACAGAACACTCCCATTTCTTACTTCCTTCTGGTTTTGTTGTTACTGAGAAGTACAGCACAGCTCTGATCCAATTATTAATATTGATAATTAATTGATTCTGGTGCAGTTAAATATTGGCTGCCTGGGATCTGAAGTTGGGTGGGAGAGGAAGGCGGGGAGTCTCAAGAGTGGGTACATAAAGTCACACGTTTTCAATGTGAGACAATCAGTACCTCTGCCTTCACCTGTGCTCGATGTCCCCCCCCAAGCCGCTGTCCAGAGACTTACTATCTCTGCCAAATACAAATGCAGCTTCTGCCTAACTGGGACAGGAAATTGTGCAAGTGCAGGAACTGGAGCTGAGGTCCAAGGCCAAGTCTTCCTTCAACAGGCTCTCAACTTTTTACCTGGTCTGCACTGCTACTTCCAAAGCTGCTTGGTACTGCCAGTTCCTGAACCTTGGGGACTCTGATGAATAAATCGAGTTGTTTTATGGCTCTTCTCCTCTACCGGGTCAGGATTTGGCTGACTGATCCATCTGTTTTTCACCTTCAAAAGGTTGTAGCTAACCAGGCATGATGGTTCACACCTGTAATTCTAGCTACCTGGGAGGTGAAATAGGGAACATTACAGTTCAAGGCCATCCCAGGCAAAAAGTTAGTGAGACTTTATCTCAACAAACAAGCCAGGAGTAGTGGCTCACTTTTATAATCTAATCTATGCATGGGTTATAGATAGTAGGATGGAAGTTGAAGGCTAGTCTGGGGCAAAAAGTATGAGACCCTGTCTGTAAAACAAAGAAAGCAAAAAAGGGCAGGGGGCATGGCTTGAGTGTAGAGAACCTGCTTAACAAGCATGAAGCCAGAGTTCAGATCCCAATACTGTCAAAAATAAAAAAAGGTTGTGGCTATTATCTCTCCCAGTCTCTTCATCCTTTATCTACAGTTCCTTGTTGTCATATATTTTTTTTAACTTTTGGACTCTTTCTAGACTTTTTCAAAGAACATTCAGGCTCACACATTGTTTATTTTCACAAAAAATGAAATCCTACTCTATGTATTGTTCCAGTGTCTTTCACTTAGTAATTCATCAGACTCTAATCTTTCAGTGGCTCCAGAGGTTTCCGTTTTGTGACTATTTCTTCATCCATTCAGCCATTCAGGTGGCTTCCATTTTTGGCTATTACAGACACTGTTCCTTTTTTATTCATGTGTATTAATTATACAAAGGGGTTTTGTTGTGCTTGATCAAATTCACCCCTTTTCTTATCCCCCTCTATTTTTTTTTACAATTTTTAATGGCCTTCATTACTTACAGATATAAAGTCTTTTGACTATCACACCCCCCCATCACCCTCTTCCTTCACCCTTTGTCGTCATTTTGATGGGGCTTCAGGAAGGGGCAGAGGCGCTCGGGGCTCAGCGCCATCTTTCACCAGATGTCCAGTAGCTTTGACCTAATGGTTCTTAGGCAGGAGACACTCGTCACATCTTGGCCACAGCTCCACCGTGAACCACTTTCATTCGATCTCTCTGGCTTGAAGTTTTTTGAAGGGAAGGAGCTAAGACTGAAGCAGGAATACTTTGTGGTGGCTGCAACCCTGCAGGATATCATCCGACGTTTCAAAGCCTCCAAGTTTGGCTCCTCCAGCAGTGCAGGAACCGTGTTCGATGCCTTTCCAGATCAGGTGAGTGTTCAGCGTGTGGACACCAGGGATCTGCTGGGCCCACATTCCCTCTCAGACTCACCCCGCTCTCTCAGGGCTGAAAACGCTGGGTAGGCATGGCACAGGCCTGTTTTATAGGAGCTGGGCATTTGTACCATGCTCCCAGACTCACATGAAGACAACGAGGCTGGGCCCTGTGTCCTTGGTCATCTTCAAGTTGATGTCTTTTCCCCATCCAGGTGGCCATCCAGCTGAATGACACTCACCCTGCACTCGCCATCCCGGAGCTGATGAGGATTTTTGTGGATATTGAAAAGTTGCCTTGGTCCAAGGTCAGCATTCTTGGCTTCTTTTTCTTAACAAAAAATGTCTGAGGTTGAAGGACTGCCAAAAAAATTCTTTTCCAGTTTTTCAGAATAAATTACAGTTGCTAACATCCAACTGTTAAAGCTATCTTTTGCCTGGAACTTGACATGTCTCCAACCTGAGTGTCACAGGGCACAAAACTAAAAAATGAATAGCTATCTGCCTAGTGGGATGACATCAGTAGCTGAATTAAGGATTACATTGCTTAGGGTTGAAAAGAGTTTGAAGAAAAGTCCTCTAACCTCAGAAGACAGCTAATTGAAAGTGTCCCTATAACTTTGGAAGTCAGCATCTTACACATAATTTGTGTCTGTTGAGTTACTTAAGTTTTTACTCTTCAACCTTTATGTATTTGAAATTAGCAAATAAAAGATAGGTAAGAATCATAAAAAAGATTTATCAGAATTCCGCCTTGAGTTTTATCAAACATAGCATTTTTCCTTTAAAAAAAATACAAGTTCTCATTATTGGGACCATTTTACACTAGTAAAATATAGTGAGTGTGTGCACTCCGAAGTGGCCTGTGGCTGGCAGGCTGGAGGTGAGGAGTGGTTGGCCCTGTGCGGTGGGTGGGCCAGCTACTGATCCCCCCCTTCCCACAGGCATGGAACATAACCAAGAAGACCTTTGCTTACACCAACCACACAGTGCTCCCAGAAGCCCTAGAGCGCTGGCCGGTGGAGCTGGTGGAAAAGTTGCTTCCTCGACACCTGCAGATCATTTACGAGATAAATCAGAAGCATTTAGATGTAAGTCATTTTGAGCAATTCTTACTCCTCAAGAGAATGAGGTCCTAGCATGCCCAGGGATGGCACATGGTTCCCTCTTCCCAAACTTGAAGCCACATGTTTCAATCATTGAGAAATCAAAAGTACTCAGAGCTGAGTGGGACCCCACTAAACACATCTTTTTGAAAGTTCTGAAATGGAAGGATGGCATCTCCCCGGGGCTAACTAGACCCCTCTTTGTGGAGAAGTTTTATATTCACTCCATCAGAGATTTTGCTTGGGCTATGAGTATTATCCTAATGTTACTTTAAACTAAGGTTTTTCTCTCCCTTTGGCTAGAGAATTGTCACCTTGTTTCCTAAAGATGTCGACCGTATGAGAAGGATGTCTCTGATAGAAGAGGAAGGAGGCAAAAGGATCAACATGGCCCACCTCTGCATCGTGGGCTGTCACGCTGTGAATGGTGTGGCCAAGATCCACTCAGACATCGTGAAGACCAAAGTGTGAGCCCCTGACTCTGGCAGCAGGTCTAGCCTAGATCCATGAATGGCATGCTGGGAGTTAATACAAGGTTGCACTTCTGGATAAGGAAAGGCCCTGTTAAAATGTTTTAAAGAATTTTCTTCACATAGAGAACTCTTCTCTTAAAGAAAGGAAATAATGCTTTTCTCTCGGAACCATCCCAATTCTAGACTTAAAAGCCCAAAGAAAAACTATTCTGCTGAAAAACCTGGTGTAAGTGTCAGTGCCGGAAGTCAGCTGGAGGTGACTAGATTTGGTACTTTCCTTGTAATTGTTTTGACTTGTAATTGAGCTTCTATTTAGAATGACAGCCATATCTGTCACCAGGCCCTCTTTCCGCTTTATTTAATCTTCCTAAGCCTACACTTGGCTTCTTGAATATAGCTCTGAACTTTACCCAGCAAGCCAGACCCACCATTTCAGCCAAGTTCAGTCGTTTGCTGCTTCCATCTCCAGATTCAAGGACTTCAGCGAGCTTGAACCACACAAGTTTCAGAACAAAACCAATGGGATCACTCCGAGGCGCTGGCTGTTGCTCTGCAACCCTGGGCTGGCAGAGCTAATAGCAGAGGTAATGGGAAGTGCAGAGACAAGGGAGGCCTGGCTAGATTCTGCAGTCAGGTGTGGCTTGTGCTGTCACACAGGGCTCAACGCTGGCTTAATTCTTTGCTTATAGCCTGCTTGAAATTCTTTTTTGTTTTGGTTGGGTTTTTTTTTTTTCTTTCCTTTTGTGGTACGGGGATCAAAGCAAGGCAAGCCCTCTATCACTTGAACCACACTCCCTTTTTGCTTTTGTTCTTCAGATAGGATCTCCTGCTCTTTTTCCTGGGACAGGCCTCAAACCTTGATCTGCCTACCTCCGCCTCCTGTGTAGCTGGGATTACAGTCATTTGCCAACACACATGGCTTGAAATTCTTAATTTTCGAACAAGGGGGGGCCCCACAAATTATGTAGCTGGCCAGAAAGGATGACAATACTTAGATAAATAACTACAGAACCTGGGTTCTTGGTCACTCTCTTAAGTGGATTTCACATGTACAGCCCTTTAATGGCACTGAGACTCCATTTAAGATACTAGCAAAGGTGTTCTTCCCAACTGGAATTTCTAGCCTCTTCCATGAGGGAAACAATTCTGTGACCTGTGTGGTTGCAAGTTTGATGGCCATATACTGACAGAAACTGCTCCTTTGGGCTTGATTACTGTCTCTGGGTTGAAGTTACCTCTTCCTTTAAATTGAAAGAAAATTGGGGAAGACTATGCGAAAGACCTGAGCCAGCTGACGAAGCTGCACAGCTTCCTGGATGACGACGTCTTCCTCCGAGAAATAGCCAACGTGAAGCAGGTGAGGCTGCCAGGCATGGCTCCTTCCCAGGACCTGGTTTTGAGGTTGTATGCTCCAGCTTTTAAGACAGACTACCCAAAGCTTCTATGTCAGAAGGGCTCTGGCCCCATGTGCTGTCTCCATAGGAGAATAAGCTGAAGTTTTCTCAGTTCCTGGAGAAGGAGTACAAAGTCAAGATCAACCCGTCCTCCATGTTTGATGTCCACGTGAAGAGGATCCATGAGTACAAGCGCCAGCTCTTGAACTGCTTGCACGTGATCACCATGTACAACCGTGAGTCAAGGAGACCCCAGGGAGATGGAAGTACCTGCCTCCATGTAGGGTCCTGTCATCTCTGCCAAGAGGTGCCACTCCATCCAACTCTTCATCTTTTTCAGGCATTAAGAAAGACCCCAGGAAGTTATTTGTGCCAAGGACAGTTATAATTGGTGGCAAAGTAAGTTGACTTTATTCCATGGGGACAGGGGGGCTCTAATCGCTGGCCATTTCTCCACTTGGTCAGTGGTGCCTTCTGTCAACATGTTTGCTATTTTTCCCCCAAGGCTGCTCCGGGATATCACATGGCCAAAATGATCATAAAGCTGGTCACCTCAGTGGCAGAGGTGGTGAACAATGACCCCGTGGTTGGCAGCAAGTTGAAAGTCATCTTCTTGGAGAACTACAGAGTGTCTCTTGCTGAGAAAGGTACTGGCCCCAGAGCAAACCATGTGGGGTCAGGGCAAATTCTAGGGATTGCATAGGACAGGATATGGGGTAGCTGACTTCAGGGAGCTAGAAACTTAGATAGAAGGTGTCACTCTTGGGCAAAATAAGGCAAGAACGTTTTTTTTTTCCCCTGTGATACTGGGTGTTGAACACAAGACAGTCACTTTCTAAGCAAATGCTCTACTACTTGAGCCACACCCCCAGTCCTTTTGCTTTTAGTTTTGTTTTTAAAATGACCAAGTAACAATAATATCGATGTCCCCAGAATCACTATCACGGGATTACATTTGCAAGTACATTTTCCTCCCAGGCAGTGGAGCCTGCTCTGAGGCTTTGTCATGGTGCAGACCTTGCCCTACAAAAGGGAAGAAAGGTCTTTAGTACTAGTCCTGGTTTTGCAAAAGAACACCAGTTCCCAACCCTCAGATATCCCACTGGTCCCTGCTATTTTTTACACTGCCACAGGGAAAGAGGGCAGACACCAGGCTGCCAAGGCATGAGGCTTAGATGAGCCTCCAATGGACACTCTGTAATCAAACACGGAGTTCCCACGTGGGGACAGCCTGGCAGGAAGCCAGCACCTTTTCTTTACCACTGGGACCTTTGCTTATTTGAATCAAATTTTGGCAAGGCACCATCCACATGCAAAGTCCAACTGTGTATTCATTTACCTTCTTCCAACACTGAAAGGACAGAAAGAGAACTTTCTCTTTTTGTGGTGTTTTGGGATCCTTAAGCCCACAGTTTAAGGACTCTTTGCCTGAAAAGCAAAGAGCCAGGTTCCCAGGAATCCAAATAAATATAAATCTAATCTGCAAATAAACTCTCAGAATAAAGTGGAGAACTGGTCTTGACCTCTGCAGTCAAGAGGGCTGGAGTTCAGGCAGCTCTAATTTGGGTGTAAATCCTACTGAGAGGTCATTGCTTGATGTCCAGCCTCAGGCCCGGCTCAGCTGCCTGTGGTTTATTTCCCTGCAGTGAAAAGGGAAGGAGGGAGGTGAGACAGGGCAGGCGTGCAACAATCCAATATCCTCAGCTTGCCAAAGAGGAATCAGGAGCGACCTCAGAATTTCATAGACTAAAAAAGAGAAGTTGCAATGTATTTTATAAACCAGAAGAAATAAAACTGTAACAAAAACTGGAAAGAAGAAAAGGGATAAAAGAAATATAGTGTCAGCATTTATAGCTCAGAGTCAACAGACACTCTTTAAAGTTTATAGACCAAGAAAGGATGGTTTAAGTATACGGTTATATAGCACATCACAAATGGGCAAAAGTAGCTACCTGCATCAAGGAGGAAAGAGTGAGCTCTGTCCTACACTACTTGAATCCTTATCTTGATCTGCATGTATTAATTGTTACAATGGGCCAGCTAGATAAAGGTTCAGATGCAATACAAGATCTAGAGTGACGGAATCACTGATATTAACATGGCTGTTTCAGTCATTCCAGCCACGGATCTGTCGGAGCAGATTTCCACTGCAGGCACGGAAGCCTCAGGGACGGGCAATATGAAGTTCATGCTGAACGGGGCCCTGACCATTGGGACCATGGATGGTGCCAACGTTGAAATGGCAGAGGAAGCCGGGGAAGAGAACCTGTTCATCTTCGGCATGAGGGTAGATGATGTAGCTGCTCTGGACAAGAAAGGGTGAGGGCACAGCTCCTTGTTGCTCAGGTGACCCCCAAGGGCTACCTACCCACATAGGTGTCCCACTGAGGCTGGGTCATGTGACATGTGGCAGCAGGACATCTCCCATGGAGTCAGGGAGCCTCCTGGGCACAGATCAGCCTTAATAAACCCAGCAAGTAAAAAAGAAAGGGAGTTTAGGCAGAGGTACAACACAGAGCACAATTGCTGTCTATCATCAGACATTGCAGCCTTAATGAGCTATTCAGTTCTCTGGATCTGTGATTTTTTTTTTTTTACTTTAATCAAAAGATGCACCCATCTTTCATTGGAAGTTTTTCCTGTCATTTAAACCACTACCTGGTGCTCCTTTAAGATCTCAAAGAGATAGACCAAAATGTGATGGGAGAATAGATATGGATATGCAAAAGCACTTGGGCATATTTGTTTCCATTTAATCTCTAGATAGGTTTATCAACCTGCATTTAAGCAAGAAATAAAGAGTAACTCCCAGGGAATGGGGATGAACTCAGTGGTAGAGTGCTTGTCTAGCATGCATGAGACCCCAGTATGGCCAAAAAAAAAGTAATGCCCAAAGGATCTTTAGGGATTGCAAAATTAAATATACTGAATATACTTCCTGACCCTCAGAAGGAAATTTCACTCAGTAGCAACGAATTTTAAGAATCCATAGGCCTAACACAACACTTATTCAGAGCCACCAAGTCTGCTGTGAGATGCATCTTGCTCTTTTACCCTGTTAGACTATTGCTCTGTCACTCAGAGTTTCGTCATCTGCTATTCTTTTGTTTTTACATTTTTATTAGCTTATATTAGTTGTGTGTGTGGGGTTCATTACAACACTTACACATGTGCCTACGATGCACTTTGATTACATTCAACCCCTCCATTCTCTGCTTCCTACTCTTCTTGGTAGTCTTTTGTCACAAGGAATGAATCAAATTTAGGGAGGGAAAAAACCTTCAGGATGAGGTAAAAAAAATTATTTGTATCCATGTTGAAATCTATAATGATTTCTATAAATGCTGATATTTCTGACTGCGTTTTTGGGTGTGTATGTGGCACTGGGGTTTAAAGTCAGAGCCTTGCACTTGGGAAACAGGTGCTGTACCACTGAGCCACACTCCACCTCTTCCGGATGATTACAGCTAATGCCATATCTAGTGTGTTGGTAATCATGCTAACAGAGCCTTTTCAACATCACCACCCACCCCTACCCTCAGGTACCAGGCAAAAGAATATTATGAGGCCCTTCCAGAGCTGAAGCTGGTCATTGACCAAATTGACAATGGCTTCTTTTCTCCTGAGCAGCCTGACCTCTTCAAAGACATCATCAACATGCTATTTTATCATGACAGGTGAGTTTCCACAGGAAGATGGCACCATTTGGGCTATGAAAAGGAGAAAAACACATCTTAAGCCAGCAACAGCCCAGATTGGCATGGATCTGTGACCTGAGCAGCTAACCTAATCTTGGAGATAAAAGTCTCCACTGCCAAGTCCAGAAAGGTTTCAGACTGAGACCTTCAAATCTGATTCTCCTTCCACTGGCACACTCAACTTTAAAACACATCCATGTGATGACATTTTTACCTGTGGGGAAAAAAACCATAAAAAAGTTGGGAGCTGGTGACCATTGTTAGACAGTGAACTTGGTAAACCAGCCTTGCCTGGTACTAAGCAAAAGAGAATTTGTAAGTAGATCTTAGCATGCATATATTAATGAAGTTTTTTGTTGGGTTTTTTTTTCTTCCAACCACCAAAAAACAGGTTTAAAGTCTTTGCAGACTATGAAGCCTACGTCAGATGTCAAGAAAAAGTCAGTCAGCTGTACATGGTAAGTTACAGAGGTTTGTAAAAGAGCTCAGTGTTCCATAGTTACTTAAAATTTTGTTCCTTTTTATTAAATCTAAATAGTGGGGCCCACTGACCACTTATGGGATGTGCCTCAGTGATAGAGCACATGTCTAGAATATGCACAACATATTTCATCCCCAGCACCACCAAAACCAAAAAAGAAGTGAGGCAACGGTTCAGGTTCTTCAGATCCAAACCTGACTTTTTCCAAGTTTAGACAGAGGCTGAGATTTGAGATTTCAGCAGCAGTTGTGGCTATTTTTAGCACCCAAGTAAAAAGCCACAAATGATTATGTACTTATCGGCACCTTCCATGTAGAGGGCCCACCTGGCAAGCTCAGGATACAAAGCCTCAGAGATGTGGGGCCTCTTTAGGATGGGCCCTGGGCTGAGTGCTAAGAACACAGCAAGGGCAAAGCCAAGGTTCTCCCCCTCCTCTAAGCAGACTATAATGCCAGGGGTTTTGTCCGTTTCTTTGTTTGTTGTTTGTAGGGGTTTTTTTCTTTTTTTTTTTTTTTGCCTCCAGCCCTTTTTGCTTTCTTATTTTGGAGATAAAGTCTTGCTTTTTTGCCCAGGCTGACTGGACCGTGATTCTCCTCTTTTACACTTCCTGCCATAGCTGTGATGACAAGCACACACCACCTTTCACCTAGCTACACAGGAGGTCTTAGGTAGAAAGACTGCAGGCAAAAAAAAATAACCTAAGCAAAAAAGCTGGGGCATAGCCCAAGTGGTAGAGCACTTGTCTAGCAAGCGTGAGGCAGTGAGTTCAAACCCCAGTGCAGACCAAAAACAATGATACTGTGCTAAAAAAAAGTTAGAGCCATATGAATAAGCCTCCATATGTCAGGTTATCTTATCACATAACCCTCCAGCTGAATTTTGCAAGGTGTGGAAAGCTGAAGCATCTCTGATTAGGGAGACATCGTGACCCGAAGCTTTCCCAGAGGAATGGCTGCAGGAATTGGTCAGCTCTGTGCTGAGACTCCAGGGAGGGCCTCACTAACATTTCTTTGTATTCTTTTCCCAAGGCAGGTGACAGGCTAGTTTCTACAGTCATCTTGATGTTCCATTGGGCTTTTAAAATAGGTTCCTTTGGACTGGTGGAGTGGCTCAAGTGGTAGAGAACCTGCCTAGCAAGTGTGAGGTCCTGAGTTCAAACCCCAGTACCACAAAAAAAAAAAAAAAAAAAGATATTGACTAAAATAGGATCCTTCAGGGCCTCTGTGGCTTTCCAACCCTTATCTTCTGCTCTGTGTCACATCAATCCCCCAACAGTTTGTAGAGAGGAGTTACGTTCAAGTTAATGTCTGTGAACAAGTGTGGCAGTGCTAGAGCTAAGCTCAGTGGCTCATTGCCTGCTTCCTGAGCATTGGGGAGAACAGCCACATGCAGCCCAAGGGCTCAGACAGAGGAAAGGGAATGACCATGTCAAGAAATGTAAATAAAGCAGAGTAGAACAGGAGAGTATGAACAACAGCAAATGTGTCCATTTTACACAGTGGATCTCCTCTGCTAAAATTACGGCTCAAAGTCAAGCATTGGTGACAATGCTTCTAATCCCAGCATTAGGAAGGTCAGCATATCTGTGAGGCTAGCCTGGACTATCCAGAGAGACCTTGCTTCAAAAGGAAAAACAATGCTGAGCATGGTAGCTCAGCTACTTGGGAAGTGGAGGCAGAAGGATCACAAGTTCAAGGGCAGCAAAGGTAGCAGCAAGACCCTGTCTCAAAAACAAAATAAAAGAGGGTGTAACTCAAGTGGTAGAGGGCTTGCCTAGCATGTGCAAGGGCCCTGGGTTCAATCCCCAGCTCGGCAAAAGGAAAAAACAAGGTCCAGATCCAAAGGCTGTCCATCTAGAAGCCCACGTGGGATTCAGTGTTGCTTGACCACTAGTACAAATTGCAGTGTTCTCCTGACAACAACGGTATTACTGAGGCTTAGTAAACATGGCCTGCAGAGCTGGGAAGTCTGTTCACCATGCATTTCAGTGGTTGAAGACAGGAAGATGAAGCCTTTATCCCTGTCTTATTATAGCAAGCCTCCAAAGTCTGAGTGAGCTGATTTCATAGTTTTGTAATAGCAGGAAGTATGATAGTAGTTTTAGTCTTTCTTTTAAATGCTTATAATGCATTGTTAACAACTTCGAATAACTTCCAGTGAACTTTCAGAGTTCCTTACCAAATCCTGAGGCTACAAATTAAATGTCTTTTATATTCTTTTATATAACATTGTGGGATTTTGATATGATTTTTTTGAAATTTTTTTTTCTTTATTCATATATTCATATATGCACACATTGTTTGGGTCATTTCTCCCCCCTGCCCTCTGCCCCTCCCTCTCCCCTCACTTCCTGGCAGAACCTGTGATATGATATTTTTGATTAAGGATAAAGCCTTCATTCACTCTGTTTTGAAACCCCAATGAAGTATTTGGGGATCAGAAGAAATGTCCAGAAGAACTAAGAAGGTGAACAAGGCCTTTCATGGCATTGATTGCCTGTATTCCAGCTAACCTCTAGGGTAGTGTTTTCCAAATTCTGTGAGCCACAGGTTAAACCTCGTCACATGGCATCTTACAGACAATGAATGTTGGTCTCTTCCTCCCCCTTGGTTTAAAGGGAGGTGTCTTCATTCATAATAACGCAGAAACATGGCTATGTGTCAGAACCTTGCAACCACAGCAGACACTACCATGTAGAGAATTTAAATTTATGGGTTAAGTAAAAACTTTGTTTTCATTCCTAAGAGAATTTATGAGAAAAGCATAGTCTATCCTACCTGTTCACCGTGAGGCAACATATTTATAACTCACTACGGTGCACGTGGCCTGAAGTTTGTCATAAAGCTTAGTGGACCCTCATCTCAGGCCCTGGGCTGCACATATATATGTTGTTTGCAGAATCCGAAAGCCTGGAACAGGATGGTACTCAAAAACATAGCTGCTTCGGGCAAGTTCTCCAGCGACCGGACAATTAAGGAATATGCCAGGGACATCTGGAACATGGAGCCTTCGGATCTGAAGATTTCCCTGTCCAGCGAAGCCAGCAATGGGGTAAACAAGGCCAGTGGAAATTGAATCGTGAACTTTCTAGAAAACACAGCTTCTTACTGAACTTGAACCTTTTTTTATAACATTTACTGATGTTATTTTGTTTTGCTAGCCAATAAGTATCTCTGGGAATGGGAAGAGAAAATGTCTGTCTATATTTACAGCTGAAAATAAAGTATCAATTTCCAACCATTACCTGAGTGCCAAAACATTACTTTATAGCAGTCTGCTAGGACTTAACACCAACTAATTAGAAAACTAGAAAACTGGGACTTTTTAATGCCACTAACTCCGTTAAAATATAAATTCTTTAAGTAACATTGCCTGAGTCCACACTAAGGACTGCTGTCCACTCAAGCTGCTATAACAAAATGCCATAAACTGGATAATTTACAAGCAACAGAAATTTATTTCTCACAGATCTGGGGATGAGAAATTTAGTGTCTGGTGAGGATCACTTCCTGGTTCACAGATGTGGGGGCAGGGCATTCTCATTGGGTCCTCATAAGGTGGAAGAGGCAAAAAGCTCTTGGGCCCCTTTTATGAGGGCACTAACCCCAGGAGAGCCCAGCTCTCATGGCCCAACTACCACCCAAGAGGTCCCGCCTCCTCGACCATCACATTAGTGAGTAGGTCTCAGTAGATGACTTTGGGGATAGTAGACATTCACACCACAGTGACCAGAGGATTCTTCATAAATATCCCCAGGATCTTTGGTGACTACACATTTTTAGACAGGATCCAAATTTACCAAATTCCGATTCTCCATAGTGAGGTTTCAGCATGTCTCACAGAAAATGACGAGCTAAATGACTACATTCCACACTGTCCAGAATCCAGACTTTCCTTAGATAAATGATAAGAGGCTTGTCAATGGTTCCAGCTTGTACCAAGCCACCTGGTACAACTTTGCATAAAAAAACTACACACCAAAGGTGGTGTCTGGACCAAGTGTTCACTGAAGGTTTCTGCTCACTCACATCTCAAGCCCACTGCTTGCTCAGGAAATCTCTGCAGAGAAAGCATCAAGATGAGTTCACACTTCCAATCCTCGTGGTCTTAGTAAGCCAGGCCAGCCCTAACCAACCACCTTCATAGGAACATAGTCACATTTGGCAAACCAGTCCTTACCTCACGGTATAGATCAGTATAGGACTTTTACAAAGAAGGTTGTGTTGGAAACCAGGAGGAAAGATAACCATCTTGACCCTCTCTTTGTTCCTGTAGGCATTGTGTGCAATTTCATACAGCTGCAAGAAACAGACAGTGACTGAAAGGCTGATAATTCAAAGCCATAGGTTTCCAGGCATAAATTTCCTGAAAGAGTACAGAAATAACCAACTTGGAGAGTTTGTGTCATTAAGTCAGAGGCTTAATGACACAAACTGGTTCCCTCCAGGTCCCCAGTTAGCTGCCTCTACAGCTAAGGACCAGAATGCTATGCATCTAATGTAGACTACTGATAAAGCCTCATCCTTTCTCTGTCCAAACCCACTGCAAGGGACAAAGAATTGTTATGACCCACTCCAGCAGAGGTTTGTTTAAAGGGAAATACTGAATCCACATTTGAAAGCGAGTAGGCAGAGGGGACATGGAGGCTTCCGCAGAACAACCCTGGATCTTCTCTGCACTGGGAGAGCCACCTTAGGACCCAAAGTGAGGGGCCAGACTCTACCACAAATGCTACTTTGAGCTAAGTAACAAGAACACTGATACTCATTGTGTAACCCAGGTGTGTAGAGAAGCCCCTCTAATGCCAGAAATCTTCCTTTTAGGTTCTAATCACAGTTGGGCTGGATGAAGAAATGGGGACTGAGATCATGGTTTACCTGTTTTCCATACTTCAAAGGCACTGTCTTGTCATCCTCTCCATGTAGGATGAGAAGGGGGGAAGACAGAAACTTCACACTGGAGAGGAATGGGAGAAAAGCAGTCAGTTCAAGCATCACACACTGACATCTCTTCTTCTCTAAGTTACAGTTTTGGCAAAACATGAGGCTTGCCCTAAACACGAGAAATCTCTTTCCTTCCTTCCAGGGCATAACAGCTTCACATATAAAAACCTTCTTTGTAATCCTGTAATCCTAGCTATTTGAGAAGTTGAGATTGGAAGGATCACAGTTCCAGGCTTGCCAAGGCAAAAAAGTTCATGAAACCCCATCTCAATGGAAAAAAGCTGGGCCTGACATCCCAGAAATGGCAGGAAGCATAAAACAGGAGGATGGTGGCCCAGGCCAGTCTCAGCAAAAAAACAAGACCCTATCTCAGAAATAACCAGAGCAAAAAGGACTGGAGGAGTGGTTCAAATGGTAAAGCACCTGCCTAGCAAGTGGGAATCCCAGAGTTCAAACCCTGGTACTACCAAAACAAAAATACAAACTTCATGTAGTAACTTTTTTTTTTCTTCCAGGCAACTATCCCTCTATTCTATTTGCTTATACAATTTAACTGATTACTTAATTAATTTATTTCTATGTGATTTTGGAAATACTGAAGAATAAATACTGAAATATTCAATTTGTACAGTGTTAGAAGACCTTATCTTTTTCCTTATTCCTCATTTTGTAATACCTGAAATATTTTAATTAAAAGCTTATAAAAGAAAACAAAGTAACTCAAAACTTAAAGATAACAGAAACTACCATAGAACCAAAGAGACCTCTTTGTAGCAATTCATTTATTTTTCTCCATAAATGTACAACATATGGATATGCAATTGGAAGGTTTAATTAGCTTCTGGTCCAGTCTCCTAGTTTGGTCATTCCAAAAGGCTTTGGCATGAGGAATAACTTCTCTCCAACAGTACTTCCCTGTCCTTCCCAAATTCTGATACCCATCCATCCCGGCCCCAGGGACTGACTGAGGGACTGACTCCTGAGAATGTCAGGTTTCCTCAAGTGTGTTGAAATAGAAGCAAAAACATTGACAACTGTCTACTTACAAGTATCCTTAAATCCTCCACCTACGAGAGGATAACTTGTCTGGGGCTAGTTATGGGATCTGCTGTGGGGGTAATAGGCTTGGTATTAGATGGGTTTGGGTCACACAGGGAATAAGGCCTAGGAGTCAGGGATCCTCTAAGGAACGTAGACTAGACCTGAGAGGATCTTTAAAAGGTCTTGATAGGCCATAAATACACAACTTTCTTTATGACTTCAGACAGTATTGAATCCATGAAGACATCAAATCAACATAATTAATATTAATTTAATAAATCAATATTAAAATGTGTGGAAACCTTACCTCCAAATCCTAATACCCATCTAAGAATACTCTATGAAAAATATGAACAAAGCCAGGTACAATGTCGCATGTCTGTAATCCCAGCTACTTGGGAGGCAGAGGCAGGAGAATCTGGAGTTCAAGATCAGCTGGAGAAAAGTTAGTGAAACCCTATCTTAAAAAAAATTTTTTTTTAAAGGGCCGGGGCATGACTTGAGTACCAGGCAAGCCTGAGGCCCTGGATTCAATCCCCAGTACCACAAAAAAAAAAAAAAAAAAAGTAGAAGAAGAAAGAAAAGTCAAACAACACTGAGATTTATCATCTACTAAGCCATATGATAGTTACCCCTTGAGTCCTAAGGAGACAGTGATAATGGACATCTTTTCATCTTTTTTTTGTTGGTGGTGATGGTGGTACTGGGGTTTGAACTCGCTAAGCAGGTGCTCTACCACTTGAGCCACGTCCCCATCTTTTCATCTTTAACTTACTTTTCGTCATTAGGGAAGACTATTTTATCTTTTCTCATGGCATCCATAAGTATGCGCAAACATCCTGGAAGCTTCTGGTAAATCTATTTTTCAAAAAGAAAAAAATATTAATACTCACGCCATAGCTATTCCCTTTGTTACAATCCCTCACTAGGAACCACAGGATTACAGAGAGTAGGGACTTTGTAAATATAATTTTTAAATTTTCTGAACTTCATGGTTTTAAAAAGTAATTCATGTCATTGTAGGAAATTTAGGGGAAGAAAACAGAAAGGAACAAAGGAACAAGTTCCACATAATTTTACCATCATAGATAACTGCTGTTAACATTTGGTTTTAACTTCCTATGTTTTTTATCTAAAATAAACTGGCATCACAAACTCTTATAAAGGAACAGTCATCTGTAAAATCTCAAATTTGCTTCTAATGTAAGCATAATTGGCTTGTTTAATTGGGGAACAATATTCTGATTTGTCAAGGATTCTGGTAAAAGTATTTAATACATAGAAAATTTGTTTGAGAGGATTGGAACATTATAAATGATTGAATGTGATTCAGTATTACAAGACTTTAATCGACGGGTTAAGGCTTGACAATGACCACAGAGCTCCAAATATATCAATTATCATTCTACACATGCTGAATTTCTTTTTAATGGCAAAGTTCATTAAATAGATGCTAGCTAACTCCAAGGCTCTTTTCATGTGTCCATTATGTCAATACATACATTAGTTCATTTGCCCTAAAAACATCCATTTCGACTGAAAATGAGAAGTGGAGACAGAAGTCGTGAGCAGTTCAGCACCCTCCTCACCCCTTGAGCCCCTCACTCTACCCCAATCCATTCATTTCTCTCCACCACCTCACCTTCATCTCTGGTGTGGACTCTGCAACAATCCACATGCCCCTCTGCCCCCACCTCACCCTGTGTCATCCAGGACCCAGGAGAACCAGGGCCACTGCGTCAACATGCAAATCATGTCACAGCACAGCTTTGCTTGGCACCCTGCAGTCGCACTTGGATTATGTCAAAATGTCACCTTGACCTTCGGGCCTGCAGAATCTGCTGACTGCCTCTGTTTCAAATTTTGTATCTTGAAGTAGATTTGCAAGGAGGACAGGGAGGAGGATGTGATGCTGTACACAGGACTTTGCAAAGGGAAGGAAATGGACACAGGTAGGCCAGGGCCAATACACACAAACTTCAGCTTCTCTTTTTTTGTTGTTTTTGAGACAGTCTCACTAGGTTGCACAGCCTAGCCTTGAACTTGTGATCCTTCTGCCCCAGTCTCCCAAGTAGTCTAGATTACAGATACATGGCACTGCAGCTGGCTAGCTTAACAATTTTTTAAAAAAGAAAACCATTAAAATTTGCCATATGTTGCACACCTTATTAGCATAGAGATTGAGCAATGCCCTGGGGAAAATTGATAAAAACAAAACCTCAGACCAGGTCACTTCCCTAGCTCCCTCTCTTGCAATCCCTCCCAGCTCTGGGAGCTCTACTCTGTGGTACTTTTCTATCTCAATAAACTCTCCCTCTACACACACACACACACACACACACACACACACACACACACACACAAATTGCCCTATGTCATTTTCCATGGCCTCCCACCATGACTGTGGTGACATGGAGAATAGAGACTTTCTAAATATAATTAATTGTTTGAACTTTTTTTTAAGTACTGAGGATTGAACACAGGGTCTCACAAGTGCTCTACCACTTGAGCCACACCCCAGCCCTTTTGTTTTTGAGACAGGGCCCTTGCTACGTTGGCCCAGGCTGACCTTAATCCTCCTGCCTCTGATTCCTGAGTAGCTGGATTTATAGGTGCACACCACCATTTCTGCCCTTTCTGATTTCTAGAAACAATTCATGCCAGGAACAGGTGGCTCATGCCTGTAATTCTAATCACTTGAGAGGCTAAGATTGGGAGGATGGAGGTTTAAGGCCAGCTGGGCAAATAGTTTGTGAGATCCCCATCTCCAAAATAACCAGAGAAAAATGGACTACAGGTCTAAGCAATAGAGCACCTGCTTTACAAGTGCAAAGGTCTGACTTCAAATTCCAATCAGACAAAAAAAAAAAAAAGCAATTCATGTCCTTGTGTGGAATTTGGCAACCACATACATACAGAACAAGAAGGCAGCAGCAGTAAATACAGACTTCCACTCCACAGTTTGCTGCAGTCGGAGGCAACCTGGCTTAGGGGGATTTGTCTGGCCTACACTTTCACATGGTCTCACAGAGAAAGATCTGCATGCAGGTGTGGGTTGAGAACTCGCACTGCCTTCCTCCTCTGCCTTCTCTCTCTTCTTCCATGCTAAAGGCAAGAGTCCTTAGTTTGTTTTTCCCTCCTTTTTTTTTTTCTGTCTTTGATTTACACACTCTCTAGAATCAGGTCTCATGGGAGGACAATTCAATAAGAGAAGCCCCTGAGCAATTCATCTCAAATTCTGAAGGAGTAAGAAGAAAGTCTCAAGTCGATTTACTGCCATGCCTCCCTCTCTGCCAGCTGGGAACTCCCTGGGAGACTCACAGGACATCCCCTTCCCTCCAGCGCCCACCAGGGCACCAGCTCCTAATTTGTCCTTCTCCCCTGCCCTCTCTTCTGTGGTACCTCCACATAAACATTCCTGGCATCCCAGTTGCATGTAATCTGCTGGTTCGAGGCTCTACAAATTCCACACTATCGATTCAAACACCAGCTTCACTGCAAGCCCGTCTTTCCCCCAGAGCTGCTCACCTTTCTCTTCCTATGCCTATGTGACAATTAGGCAAGCCTCCTGCCCCCCATGTCTGCACAAGGACACAAGGCCACATGCTGATGGTAACAATACCGAGTGTGGGAGACTTCCATAGAACCCCTACACTGGCCGCAGGGGTTCTACATCACTATCACCCATTCCTGCCCAGGCTTGGCTCATGTTTCCCGGCCTTCAAGAAAGCAGGAAAGCAGCTTCGAGCCTGCATCTCACTGAGGTCTTCACTGACCACACCTGCACCCCCAGTGGCTCCCTTCTCAGTTCTCCCTGTCCTGAAATGACCAGCACTTACCTTCATCTGCTTGGAACAGAAAGGGCAGGGAAGGGAACAAACAGTGGTTTAGGGCCTCCTGGCAGCTGGGAACTTGACGGACCCTGTCGTAATTACTCTGCAACAATCCTGCACCTTGACATTATCAACTGCCTTATGTAAAAAATGGGAAAAACCCTGAGAAGGGAAACTTACCAAGGTCATGTAGGGCTGGGGACAAGGGCTGGATTTGAACCCCAATCTCTGTGACTCCATGGCCGGTGCTCATCACACAAATCATTCTGAGGAACAAGATTGGCCCCTGAGGGAAATCGCTGATACCTATAGCTCTCATTTACATCCTCTCCTCCCTCTCTCCAACCAATCAGAGAGCTTCCTAAAGTTGAGGAACACCTTTTACCACCATCTCCTGTCTCATCAAACTTACACTCTTCTTCTTTTTTTTTTGGTGGAACTGGGGTTGAACTCAGGCCTCACACTTGCTAGGCAGGTGCTCTGCCACTTGAGCCATGCCTCCAATCTTTTTTGCTTTAGGTATTTTTCAAGTAAGGTCTCCCGTTAATGTCTAGGCCTGCCTGGAGTACAGTCCTCCTGTCTACACTTTCCTTGTAGCTGGGAGGGCAGGTGTACCACCACAACCAGCTGTCATTTGTTGAGATGAGATCTCACTTTTTGCCTGGGCTGACTTCAAACTTTGATCCTCCCAATCTCCACTCCCCAAGTAACTAGGATTATAGGTATCAGCCAACACACTCAGGACTTTTTTTGGGGGGGGTTCTTTTTTTGTGTTTTTGGTTTTTTTTGGCAGGACTGGGAGTTGAACTCAGGGTCTGTGTTATAAGACAAGCAGTCTACCACCTGAGCCATGCCCCAGTCCTTTTTGTTTTTAGTTTTTCATGTAGGGTCTTACGCTTTTGCTCTGGTGGCCTCAGACTGCAACCCTCCTACCTCCACTCCCAAGCAGCCGGGACAATAGGTATATACCACACACCTTATTCAACCATGGTCAGAGTTCTGCACCCTACTGAGAACAGAAACCGCTGGCACTGTTGACTCTTCCAGCTGCCTCTTGCCAGGCGCTACTGTGTGCGTGTGTGTGTCTGTGTGTGTGTGTGTGTGTATTATGTATGTATACGTGTGTGTGTATATATAGAAACTTATTTTACACAACAATTCTGAATAGACTATTCTTACCATAGTTTACGGATGAGACCTCTAAAGCATTTAAAGCAAGTAGCCCAGGATTACCCAGCTGTTGAGTTACAACCTGGAAACCAAACCTGAGCATTCTAATGCCAGAGCCCTTCCTTCCTTCCTTCCTTTCCCCTCCTTCCTTCCTTTCTTTTCTTTCCTTCCTTCCTTCATTCCTTTCATCCTTCCTTCCTTCCTTTCTCTTCTTTCTTCCTTCCTTCCTTCCTTCCTTCATTCCTTTCCTCCTTCCTTCCTTCCTTCCTTCTTTCTTCCTCCCTCCTTTCTTCCCTCCCTCCCTCCCTCCTCCTTCCTGACATTTTCATACACACATGTAATGTACTTCCACCACATTCACCATCATCCTCTCCTTCCTCCCTCCCCCTTCCACTGACTGCCCCTCCAACAGCCCCTTTTTTGCAATCATATCATATTGCTTCTCTTTAGAGCCAGATTCCACATGTGAGAGAAAACATGCAGTGCTTGTCTTTCTGAGCTTGGCTTATCTAGCTCAGCACCATGTTCTCCAGTTCCATCCATTTTTCTGCAAATGACATAATTTCATCCTTCTTTGTGGCTTTATAATATTCCATTATGTATATGTACATTTTTTATCCATTTATTGATTGTTGGTCACTTCAATTGATTCTGTAACTTGGCTATTGTGAATAGCACTGCTATGAACATGGGTGTGCAAGTATCTCTATTGTATATTGATTTAATTCTTCCAAATATATGCCCGAGGGTGGTATAAAAGGGTCATATAGTAGCTCTGTTTTTAGTTTTTTGAGGGTCCTCCACAGTTTTCCATAGTGGCTGCACTAACTTACATTCCCACCAACAGTGTATGGG